TGCTCTCGTTTTTCTCAACGGAATCGTTTATCGAATTTATTTTAAACTGTGAATCCTCATTCGAATAAGTGTGTTGTGATGACAACAATTGCCAATAAGCCCACGGACTTCTCATGAAAAAAAACAAACACACTGTTTTTTGGGTTGTGCGCGTTGTTTTCGGCGTCGACTTTCTCACGCGAGCCCATAGAAAATTCCAAGTAATTTTGATTTTCAATATTAAATAACATAAATATCATACGTGATATGTCCGTTATACGATGACGGAACATAATGGGAACGGTTTGACGCGTAACTTCTGTTTTCGTCGTTAATTTCTACATCGAGCATAATTTACCCTCAAACCGATGAAAAAATATTGAATAACAATTTCATCGTCGATGAAAAATATTTATTCAATAACATGAACGTAGAATTTTTTATTCTATTTTTAACCTTCAGGAGTGAATCTTCTCATCTTGTGTACGTAATATGCTCCGTGTTGATTGAATCATCCTAATTTCTTTTAAATGAAGACGAATTTATAATTAGTACTGTGTGTCTGTGCCCATGCCCGTGCAACATTTTGCTCTTCATGAAAATTCATTATATACACATGCCACAGATCCAGATTGACTTGTTATTCTCACATCTTGTACACACTTTGCGTTGGTGTTGATTGCACAACCATTTCACCCAAACGAGTTAATGATATTCCACACTTAAATCGACAATTTCAAATACAGTCAACCCAAACACGATGTGAACTTTCACAGTCAACAAAAGAAGAGAGTAAAGAAAATCGACATAAGTCAACATTTAGATGAGTTTTTATACCATTGAAAGCGATTCGCATTTATATCCAGTTGCCTTTGTTCGGAATTACTTTATTATCTTACGCTTGCGATTGCTAATTTGGTTAGAATGTTACGATAGATGCGGCGATTATTAAACGTCTCCAAGCAATTTCATGGATCCTTTACGTTTGAAAACCAAAATGAATATGAATCACCCACAAAAACAATGACACGCATATTTTTCATGCTCTAGCAGAATCGTTGTCAAAGAGTAGCAAAAGTAATGACTGCCAAAAGCCGTTGTGACGGATATAAAAACATCTGCTAATAAAACTGCCCACAAATGAGAAAACATTTTGCAACGTGTGCGATTAGCCACAAAACCGAATTTCGGATTGGATTTCAGGCAGAGATAGCTAACTCACTAAAATTCACTGACTAAATACAAAATTTCTATTAGAAATTCTAATAAGAGAATTCTGAAAATAAATCAATCATTGTAAAATGATCCGTTTTTCCATTAGGCCATGAAATTGTTTGATCAACAGTACTTAGTCGATGAAAATAATAAGAAAATATATAATTATGGAAATCGAAACACAGTAGAATATTCCGAATGAAAATGGATTTCATTCCATTCTCGATCGCCTTCCACTGATGTTTACGCATCGAATACGCATTCCCGATTAGTCTGAGTGAGTAAATAAATGTGTATTCACTGAAAAGTGATTCAGTGAATGCGATAAATTGCCGACGCTATCACATTTGTGTCGTATTGCGTTGTGAAGACCCATATTGCTGATGCTGACACCAGTGTGAGATGGGATAATATAATAAAAATTCTAATTAAAGAATGGTGCGGAAAGTTTCCGGAATCAGTTTGGGCGCTTTGAAACTGGGCTAATTAAAGCATTTCTATTTCCATCGCGTAAACAATTCACCCCAAACACATTTCGTGCGATAGAGTTCATTGATGCAGAAAAAAACTATCATGGTACACCACCAGTGAGCTATAAAAACGTCAACAGCTCGTCCGAAAATAGAAACTTATAATTATGATCTGAAAATATTCTATATTAATCGGTTGAGTGAAAAATCGAGGGCAAGGTCGCGGTCGTTTTGCACAGAATACCTCGCATAGATACGGTTTTGATGGATTCCCAGGGCGTTGAACGCAAAATCTTATCATTTTCGCAACCTTTTGACATCATCAATGTAAACGACCTACATTCGCATGTTTTTTTTTGTTGCTGTGATTAATAAAAATTTGCACGCCATGTGAAATTAATTAAAACACCATTCTCAAAGCCAAAAACAACAACAATCCTTCATATTCTGGCCAAGATGTTTCATTTTGGGGTTTGTTTGCCAGCCACGATTAACTCATTTGACTTGGGAATTATCAACAACAAAAAATAGACATTCATTCGAAACCGCAACACCATGGCGCACTCTATACCAATGAATTTGATAATCCATGCAGGAGCTGCCGAGCCAGTGCCGATGTATATAATGAATCACATCGAAATTTGTAGTCGATACACACTCAAATGTTTTGGAGCAAATGCAATCGCAATAATAGAAATGGATTTTGTTTTCTCTGCTTTGTTTTGACATTCAGTGTCTTCCATGAAATTAGTTGTTGTGACTGTTAATTACTATATTCGAAGCTATAATTTCAAGTACGCATACTCATGTAATTAAGCATGATCAAAATTAATAAAACAACACTTGAAATGACTATTTTGAACGATGAAATGATTACCAACTGACGACAATAACAATAACAACAGTTTTTTTTTGCAGCAAAAACTAAATTGCACCAAAAGGGCAACACTATTGTTTGAAAAAACCAAAAATGGTTGAATTTCTTTGAACAAAAATGTGACTTACTAATGAATGGAAGACGTAGAAAAATTGGCATCTTCAAAGACGGTCTGCAACGATGATTCAGTGGTATTGGTGCTGGTCTCCGAATAAAAGTCTCTCTCCGAACGCGTTGACGATAACAATTGATTCGGTGGGCCTTTTGCACGTAAACTTGTTTTCGAAGGAGCCGACATTTCTTCAACTTTCGTTTCTTATTTGAATTGCGTAGCTCATTGACCACTCAATCGTAGAAAAGGCGATGGAGTTTCGTCTAAAATATCGAAATCATTTTCTTGATTTTGAATAAAAAATAGCATTCAAACAGTATCAAAAACTCGTCCTGTTAAAACTGAGCCCATCGATTAAAAAATGCACTCCAGAAAAAAACCCTTCTAAAATTTATCAAAAACCAAAAGAGCATACTGCAACAATCGATTACCGACCGAAGACAAAAAATGGAATTTATTTTTATTCAAGCGAAAAAGAGCGAAACGAACATAAATTTTATGACCACGATGAACCGAAAGTCCGAACAAAAATTTCTAATTGCTATCAATGCGGTGGCACAAGCAAAAACACACTGAGAATCATTTTACGTTTTATGACACTTCAATCCACTAGCCCGTGTGTAGTAAAAAGGTTTGCTAGTGCTTTGTGTTGTGTATATTCGACGAATAATAATCGGCCGTATTTTAAAAACATAAGCACACATTACCGTTAATCACTCTCTCTGACTCTCTGTGTGACGTAAATTTTGCATGGCATTTGGTGTCTCGTTCACGCTCACAACTTAATTCAAGCCGACGGAACGCTGTACAAGTGAATGAGAAAACAGAATTTCTACATTCAAAGTTGGATGATGATATTGTGTATTTAGACAAAAAAAAAGCACCGTATCGTTTTAAATGGCATTTTTTTCCTCATCTTTTTTATGTGTTTCAAATGTTTTGTGATGGACAGTTCATGTTGTTATCATCGGTGGACTGCTATAAATGGCACACTCTCGCACAGGGTGAATGTGTCAACATGTAAATGTGAGTTATGAATGGAATCGTATAAATTGAAAATGATAAGAGCCAGTGCCGTGCGCGAAGAGTTGTAATCATCTTCTCAATTGAAATTACCACAAGTCACGTTCTAACCTACTTATTAGTATGTTGTCACTGCTCGTGAGACAATGTCCAATTTGAAAATGGCACATGCAATTCTTTTTTTTCGCTTATTCTTGTTTATAAAAATAACCATCGTTTAAGCCGGACGAATACAGGAAAAGGGAATTCAGATTATCACCTTGTTTGCCCGTGAAAAAATCGCTTTAATTCGAAAATCACTCTATTTTCAGTTTGAAAATAAGCAAAAACCTCTTTTCAGCTCTTGATTTATCCTCGTCTCCTCTGTGTGGGTTTTGTTTACTTATGAAAATGTTGGCTCAAATTACCTTTTTTCTGCTCGACGATGATGATGATTTATGTGCGACATTTAGTTCCAGTAGGCTTCACCGCATTAATTGCATATCTCTTACAAACCATTGTTCATTGTTCATTCATCGCATTCAAGTACATGATGATGGTATTTATTTAGATTTTTTTTCGTTTTATTTCGTAAATCACAGCTTGTTTATACAGTATTAAGACCACAAATGACTAAATGATGAATGCACAAAAAGTGTAGAACCAATAATTTGATACAATTAATTTCGGAGCTAGTTCGTTGTGTAATTGGAAAAATTCTAGTGCAATAATACTATGGATGAGATTGAAACCGGAATATGTTTTATGGAATTTGTTATGAAATATGAGAGTCAGTTTGTTTTGGCCAAAAAATGACCGAATTTGCTCATTTCCTTTAGATGGATTTCCGCGACTTTCTCACGTAACTTATAAAAGATTACAGTTGGGCGTCTTAGCACTCAAGGTGTTGTATACGGACAGTTATTCATGTCAAATTCGCTTCAATCTATGCCAAAATGAAATGATAGGAAAATATTATAGGACACTTTTCATATAGAAAAACACTTTTTCTGCACGATTGGCAATAGGCACGAGATACCAATTTACAGCAAGGTTATAGAGCACATCGAGCTCTACAACTTTGCCAAAGACATCAATTCGCTAATCTTTACGTTTCAATGAAAATTGAGAAAAAATGCATTCGCCCGAAGCAAGTAAACATACCTTCTTCAAGAAAAATCTCAAAAAATCATACTCACTTGATTCACAAATATAGTGAGACGGAATAACTTACTTTCATCTCAATCTCACCCAGTTCACATCAATCTCATAGAATAAAAATTCAGTTCATTTTTTTTGCTATTCCAGCACAAAATATGAAAACCAATGCGTATGAAATAAATTATTTTGAATAGCAACAATCACTATTTATTGTTCATTGATGAAGTCTGCAAAAAAGGCGTTTCTTGACTAGCATTCTTTGCCCTTCAGATCCTTTGATACAAGAATATATGTGCATATTTTATTCATAAATTCTCTTAAGTACGTTTGATAAACGTCTAACAAAAACATCCAAAAAATTAAGTAACATACGAAGATCATTAATATGTTCTAGATAAACTTAGCACGCTAGATCTACAGTTTTTCCATTGTTATTGTTTGTGTATGTTTATATGGAAATTTTTGGCTCACATTTCAAACAAATTAGCTAATGGTTTGGCTTTAGAACAGAGCATTAAGCCGTATGCCATTGGAATATGACATGAGCAACGATGAGATAACCGGTTATGGTAATCAAACTTGCAATCATTATCGGAAAGCTTCTCCTAAAAAGAGAAAAAAAAATCCCCAAAACATCTGATTAATTTCATGTTCATTCAAAAGAAAAGGTTTAATATAGCACTGAATCAGAGCCTCTGATTAAAAAGAGATTACCTGAAATATTTCGAGAACGAAATCTTATAGCCATGCTGTTCAGCGATTCCTGCGCATAATATATTCGCCGAAGCGCCGTACAAAGTCCCATTACCTGAAAAAGCGTGTTTTTTCATAAATGTTTTTTTGGGTCATTTTTTTCGGGGGAAATTTGAACATAAATTAAGATTGCTACTCGAATTAATTCCACTGATTAAAGGGTTTCGGAAACATACCTCCTAGGCATGGGCCAAACGCTACTGCCCAAACCAGTGGTTGAACCGGCAAATTGAGGCTCTCATTTTCGGCTATCAAAATTACAATTTTGATCATCATTGCCGTGACGGGAATTGAATCAATCAATGCGGACAGCAAACCCGACAACTGGCCAAAAAAAAAACATAAAACGCATGAAAATCGAATAAAGCTGATATTGAGACAACGTTGCACATGAACAGAACAATCTTTCACTCACCCAAATGACGATGACAATCGCAAACGCTAACCGCACATTTGCATCATCGAATGTGGAAATCAAATTAATCGTTTGCTCATTGAACCAATGTAATAATCTTAAGCGCTCCAAGCATTCAAGCGTCACAAACATTGCGGCAAAAAATAGCAGTGTCGTCCATTCAATTCGATGCATTAATGCATCCATGTCATCTCTGCACGCAAAACAAAAGAGAATGGAAAAAATAAAAAAAAAGAAATGGATTAAATTCACTTCGATTTTAAGGCGTGTCCTTGGTGCATAGTAACTTACTTTTCCGCAATAATCAGTAGAAACATGACTCCAATTAGTGCACACCAGGCAATCGATAATTTCTCATATTCTGGTATCGATTGCAAAAAGAACATTGCAATGATGAATATCAGCACGATTCCGGATTTCACGAGCAATTTTGCATTCTTGATCGGGTACTAGAGAGACAAAGAAATGGGTCAAATGATGAAGTTAAAACAGATGGAATAAGGAGAAAAGAAAAATTACGCTTTTCTGTAGTTCTTCCAGCGTTTGTCTGTACGTTTCATTCGGTACGGATTTTTCGGATGATACCGTTTTCTTGAGTTTACTTTGCAAAATGGCCACTTTCTTCATGAGCGTATCGCGTACCACCTGCGATTCCCTGGTCAAAGTAGAGAGTGAAGCGGCTGTTCGTTCCCAAACGACAATCTCACGCCGTAAATCAGTCACTTCTTGTGGTTCCTTTGTGCGTAGCTCGTGCATATCTTTGTACATCCATCGTAAATAGAAGCAGGTTTGAATGAAAGCCAACACCACACCAACGGTCATGTGAACCGTATATGAAATGAAAGTGACACCTTTATTCGAGAACACGGCATTTCCCGTGATCATAAGGTTTGGCACATGGCCCAATGGTGTTGCTGCCGCGCCGATATTCCCATTGAGAATGACTGCAATTAAAATGGGTACCGGATTCAAACCCAAGCATTCACATAGCTTTATCGTGACCGGAGTCATTAGCAAAATTGTGGTGACACTGTGCAAAAATGCCGACAGGACAGCGGTTATGAAGCATAGTGAGAAGATCAATGGCCAAATGCGACCGTTTGTCTTTTCGAATGCATAAACGGCTATGTAATTGAATATACCGGTCTCGGTGAGTATTGCCACTAGGATCATCATTGAGAAAAGCAATAGCAGTGTTTCGCAATTCATCCATTGCACGATTTCCTTGAGATCTGGCCGATCGTTCAAAACGGACAGCAGTCCGATAGCCATTATTGATGACAGGATTGCGGCAAATGTTCGATGTACAATCTCGTATATGATCAGTACATAGAACATTAGTAGCACAAGACCAGCACAGACTGCGCCCACATGGATATCCACCGGAGTCGGATTGAAATGCAAATTTACCGTCAATCCTTCCGGTGTGTTCTTTCTCAATAGAACCTCCAATCGTTTTTGGCGCGTGTAAATATTATGATCGATACTGTATGTGCGGCGAAACGTTTTCAACGATGTATAGTCAACTTGGTCTGGGTCGGCAATTGGGATATTCCACTCGTATCCGATCATCTAAATGGTGCGATAATGTGTGAACAATTAAGCAATGCATGTTTTCAATTTAAGCAATTAGAATGTGGTTTTTTTTTCTCAATTTACATCGATTGGACGAGATCCACTCATTAGCCGCACGGTCACTTGATGCATACTGTCATTTGTGTCTTGCAAAAATGGACCCTCCAATCCCAGAATAATCTGCTCTCCGTAGTAAATCTTTGGCAATCGGTAAGCTATAGAAAATATCGATTTTGTTGTTGTCAAAATTGAATGTAATTCCAAAAGCAATTCAAATTGATGCGAATTTTATCAGCAAAAAATTCACTTAAATTTTCAACTAAATTGAATGTTCACTCACATTTTGTCTGTGTGTCATCGATCGACAGTAATTTTTGATGGCTTTTCTTTTCATACTCGGTGGTCATGAATGCCATTGAGCAGAACCATAACGCAAATAAAAATATCACTTTGGGATGCTTGTGGAATGGGCTGCCACTATTTTTGAGTGAGCTCGTTGAGCGTGTTGAATGACTTGCATTCGTTATATTGGTTAGCGATGACCCTTTCACTGTGTACGTTGTACTGGAAAATCAAAGCAATTGAAAAAACCACTGCACAGCATTCAATTGTTTAATGGAAAAAATGATGCAAAAACTCACTCACCTGATTTCTTCCAAGTGATTATCGATCCCATCTGTGTTCGTGACGTGTATGTGAATCGAATTGCTCTCAATTTTGTCCTCATCATCATTTTCCATGCACTCGTTGCTGCCACCTGCAACAGGCTCATTTGAGGTTGATCCTAACAAGAGAGCGGAACAGAATGGTATACACACTTTGGCAATTTGGAGTGAAAACTATTAAAATGTCATTAAAATGTCACAATTTACCATTGACACGTTCGTGTTCCACTTGAAATGGTGCCAGGCTGCGATACAAACACATGAAATAAAAAGAAAATACACCAGAATAAAGAACAAGTAAAATAAGTAGAAAGATCAAAATAGTCTAATGAGTCTGCCAAAATACCTGGGATCTTGACGTATTTTCGATGGCAAACTACGCCACACTTGTAACGTTCCTTCGGTTACATCGTCGGGCGATATTAATGTCAACAATGATCGACGTCTTTGAACCGATTTCGTGTGATAGCTCTTAGTCGTGGAGTTTTTCCGATGTGGTGATTGCAACCGCTTTGATCTGCCCATTTTGCACCAAACTAAACGATTCAAAAGACAATCTATTCAAGTACCAGTTTTATAGTAGTCATAAAAGGAATAACGGATTCATTAAACTCTCGCGTGTGTGTCAACAAAGCAATTCAATTGAAAATTTAGTACTTTATGAAATCTTCGTTTTTTTTTTCTTCCAGGCACACTTTCACGAAGTAATTGAATAAAGTAAACTACTTTTCTCCGTATCCGTTAATGTTTCATTTTAGGTGAAAGGTTAATGTGATAATTCGCAGTCATTGTCGTATCAACAATGTGGTCGATTCAACAGTGAAATCAATAACCGAATTGCTTTGAACTGTGTTCAACACATTTTAAATGTCCGATAACGTAAAATTGCCCGCGTCGCAAATGGGTTTCAAAAATCGTAGCATGGAAAAACAAACCCTTAAATTATATAGCGTATTTCAGCGATGCACCGCACAAACTAGAACGATTGCAACGTATAGCAAACAATGTGATTCTTATCGATTAATCAATGTTGAAAATTATGCATTATTTAAATGCGTTTTTGTGCCTTTGTTTCGGCTGGTCAAGCGACGGCGTGTACAAAACGATAACAATAAACAGCTGATACTGTTCTATCGTCTATTTCACAACCGCAATGATTTCAAATTTTCTCTCTTCTTCGTTCACAAATTTGCTTTTGTTTTCCTGTTTATGTCAGAATATGCTACTGTAAAAATTTAAATCAAAACAAATGCCTACAGTCACTATTTCAATGAATTTTGTGCTGATTGTTCGTCGAAATGTGTTGGGAGCACAGGAAAAATTTACTCGCACTGTTCGATGCGATTGTTTTGAATAGCTTTAGCAAATGACTGTGTGTGTCTTTTGCTAAACAACGCAACTGATAAACTAAACACACAACTGGTTTTCGGATTTTGTGCTCAGCACCGCTCACACAGTCTACTTAACGGCTGCCGCGTTTGCTCTCTCTGCCACTGTATTGGTGTGGTGCCCTGTTTCCAATGGAAATACGAATTTTGTGTGTGCAGCATGATTTTTTTTTCTGTTGTTCATTTCCAAGCGAGAGAGAGAATTGCTGATAAGAAGAGATGGGAATCCAATTTTATTTTGCACAACACAAGCACGCGCACGCATTCGATTAGGGGCAATTGTGAGAGAAGAAGAAAAAACGGCAGCAGCAACAAAAACAAGTATATGCTGTGTGGAGATGGAACGAGAATTACATGGAGAAAATGCACGCGGCACGGCAAGGCAAGGCAAAGCAGGGAAGTGAATTTCGTATGAAATTTCAACGGTTTGGCATGTACGTGCTAAATAGAGGCTGGAGTGATGTTCTTCTTATGAAATATGCCTGAAGACTGTTTGGACACTGGGGAGAAGAAAAAACGTAACAACAAAACAAATTGCTAAAAATTTAGAACAATAATAAGGTGTGGAAAATGTCATCAAACTGGGAATTATAAAACTGTGTTTGCACTGTGTACGGTTTACGCCTACAATCAAGTCAATCTGCTCAGGTATCTTGCCACGTTTATCCTTCTGTTTTACGTTGGCTCGTAATGGTGATTCACATAAGCGATGAATTTGCAAACGGAATAAATGATGCGGCCGTAAATTTTGCAAAACGTAATTTGCTGTGTATTGTTATTCTATTGTTCACAATGTGGATCTTTTTTTCTTCTCTCACACAATTTTTCAACCTTCTCAGCTGTCATTTCAGTGAAAAATGAACCTCATTATATCGGAGTGGATCGGAGCGCTCATTTGGGTTTCACTCCAATCTACATATAGATTTTCTGTACGCGCCAATATTCTCTAATTGTCAATATTGTTCTGAGTCAAAAACCTGATGTAAAATTCATGTAAGAGAAGCGAAAAAAAGATACGATGGCTTAGATACTATTTGAATAAATCGATTTCAAGGTGATTAAGTTGTTGTAGTGATCAAAGTGTTTTCTGATTATTTTCAGATTTTTTTTTCTGATGCCACCAGCGACATGCCGAGATGCCAAGAGGATGATCAACACACAATCAATACACGTCGTTTACATACACCACGTACGTGCTAATTAGTATTCAAAAGTGATAATCAATCCGATCTCAGCTGAAGTAAAAATTAAATTGAACAATCAACTGGATACAACTGGTTCACTTTGTACAACGGAGGCGGTGCACTGAACGAGTGGAGCGTATTGAACGACAGTGAATAATAAACAATAGTTTCCACGTTATCTTTAATTAAAATGAACATCATCAAATTGTTCGGAGAATTCAATTTTTTTTCCTGTTTCTGTTGATTTTTCAGATTATTTTTTTGTTTGTGTTTTCGCAATTGTTTACATTCGACGCGCCGCGAGCCCAGTCAATTAATGCCAAAAAGACGTAAAATGTGAATTCGTGCCGCATTTCTCTATTCAATCGACACTTTCATTGACAACAAACGACTCAATTGGTGGTGGGCTGTATTTGGATTAGGCAAATATTTGCCTAAGGTAAACAAATTTATGTTTTCACTTATGCTGTTTACTTTTGTTATTGTCGCTGTTGTTGTTGCAATACGTGCTAAAAATTGGTATTCGTCTAACTCTTCACCTTTTCACAGTGCAAACGCTTCGAATTTCTAAACATGACTGACAAATGAAGTGATACGAATTTTTCGCAATGCAAAAAAGCGAAGAAATTATTTTAATGCCTTTATCAGCTTAGATTTAAATCATACACTCGTTATACACACGATTTTATGACAGACAATTACAGTTTTTGTGTTATTGAAACACAGTTCTGATAAGATTACATTTAAGCATTGATTACATTTATTGCAAGCTCATAAAATGCTCCACACTTTCATAGTTGTACACATTGAAGCGAAAAGAAAATGATGATTACAGCATTTGCAATTGACGGCCAGAATCAGGTCAAACTGATTTCCATGGCCAATACGAAATTTATCGCTTTTAGAAAGAAATTCGAGCAAATCCAAACTCATTCAAATCACCAACTTGATAAAAAAAAGGTAATTGATTTCAATATCGATACGCATTAAAACGTTTATCGTTCAAAACTGACGAATATTAATTTACCACTTGTGATAATGTTTTGTGGTTTTTTGAAGATAATTTATTTTGGTTCATTTTTTGTCAAATTATCATGTTTCCTATAATACAATAACGACCGTGATTGAGATATTCGTTATTTTTAGCACCATTCGGAAGCATTTCAACAATAGATTTTTCTAGCAAGAATATCTCGAACATCAAGAATGAGGAACTGACCTTTTGAATAATTGCATTTTGTTCGTATCGATTTGCTCAGCATCTATTATTGTTGTGGCGAACGAGAGACACGATACGCTTTCCAACGTGGTCGTCGTCGTTAATATCAAAGAAAGTCTTAAATGTAGCAAAACCAAAACAAATCGTTGCAATGTTACGCTAAACATTGAAAAATTGTTCAATCTCCGGCAATTCATTGCGGTGCTCTTAGTTCATTGACACATTTTATTAAAATGCACCGAAAGTCCGTGAAAAAGAAACGAAATGCAATCGGCAAAGTAGGATTTTCGTGTCGGTGAAATTGGATTCGATTTGATAGCAGGCCAATAGAATTGTTTATGTGATAAAGGAACGCCTTCGAATTGCCTATAAATGCACTTTGCACATTAAACATTCATTGAAAATTCATTCGCTACAAAAAAGATAATTTATCATAATTGCTTTTTTTTCTTCTGCTTCGATCTACTGCAGCGATCTCGTCGATAATTACAGAGAGATGCTTATGCAACTGAGGCCGTAGCGTAAAACACATACACGCGTTATAAAATGAATCGAATTAAATTCCATTTTCTAGTCAATTTGTTTTCCGTACTCCATTTAATTTGAATTTGTGAATTACAATTTTCTGGATTTGAACACGTTAGAAACGTGTGTGGGATTCACAGCCACACTGATGTTATATTGCACGAGGTATGTTGAAAAGGTGACTTTGAAAATAGTACACGGCGAAATCGAATAAATGAATTTCGAAACGATATTGAAGCACTTCGAAGAAATTTATTGGCGCTTCTTTAGCATTTAGAACGTTTTTGTTCACCATTTATGCCGGGTTTTCTTTTCGCTCTTTTTTTGGCGGTACGAAATAAAAGACGGCGTAGAATTGATTGTGTAGTTCTACTTGCATTCGCTCATAAATTGCGTTGATTGCGAAGGTTTAATTCAATCTCGTATGCGTTATAATGAATTCCATTCCCTTAGGACCTCAACTGTGATATGAGTATTCTCGCAAATTCAATTCTCAAAGTGTTATGGAAAAGAAACTGTTTTTGCCACGGATAAAGTGGTGTGGGCATATGATATTTTCATGCAAATACAATTGAAACGGCGAGAATGAAAATTTCTCGTGAGAATGTCACCAATTTATTTAGTCGACTCCATCATTCCATACTTACTTTCACATACAACAACATCATTTCATATTATTCAAGTGTGTATGGAAGCAAGGAGCCCGAAGAGAATGGTGTTAATTTTGCGTGGAAAATTGCATTGGCTATGACCTAGTTTATTCTTTTTTGCATGATAATGAACTGTAACATTATTAAAGCATATCGCAACTCCTTTTCTATTTAAGGCAAATTAAAAGCATACAAATATTTATTTACGCCAAATTACGGCCCGACTTATTGTTAGACGAAACGTTCTCCGTTTTGTTGACAAAGATTAAAAGTAAAAATGGCAGCCGCCACCGCCACTTTTAGTTGATCGATGGTCTCTTTTTCTTAAGTAAATACATGGCAAAAAGCATTGCTTTAATTTTACAGTGAATTCGAGAGACAAATATACTCTGCCACACAGCCAGCCACTATCACTCGTCCTCTTTGTGTTACGATTTCCCATTGAAAGTGCTCGGCCTAAGTAAGTGTTTATGTTACGCCGTCTGGAGGCTTCGATCAAGCCACACGGGCTCTGTATGCTGGATCATCATCGTATGAATACTCTCATTTATGCGATCACGATCATAAATAATCTCTCAGTGCATAAAGTATGGCAATATATTATCTTGCATTGCATGCGTGTGATGATGCGCAAATAGACTTTGGCGCGCGATTAAATGCATTTCATTTTACCGTTACCGTATTTTCTTATTGATTTTCGACTTCGATTTTCTATATAAAGAATACGCGCCGTTGAATGTCGGCTCAGAATTTCTCCAGACGATTTCAGAGTAACAGTTAGTCGAAGACATTTTGGTCGCGCATTGAAATTCTACAACTTTTCATTGAATTTTTTTTGTTCAAATTTCGATGGTTTTGGTGTTTTAATTTCGGTTACATTTAATTTTTGGAAATATGATTTACGTTAAATCGCTTTTTGCTTGTGTTTTTCTCGCTGCAATCGTGACGGCACAGATTCCGAATTTTGGAAGATGTCCCGATTATGGTAAAATGAAATTGACTTTTCAATCGAATTTTTAGACAATTTTTAAATCTTCATTTCATTTCAAAATTATTTCTTTGCGAATTTAATTTTCAAAACAAAATGAGATGAACAATTTCAAATGTTGAACTTTTGTTCGTTAAAATTGAGAACCATTTTCCATCATAAAAAATATAATCCAATTTTTTGATTGTATTTTTCCCATTCCTTTCAAAAAGAGGTGATGAGCGATTTCGACCGAGAGAGTTTCCTTGGGAGATGGTACGAGATTGAACGTTACTTTGCCGTATCAGAATTGGCATCGCGCTGTGTGTCTGTTACGTACGAGCGACGTGCTGATGGCAAAATCTACGTGAGCAACGAAATGACGAATCGATTGTAAGGAAATTTTCGAATTAATCTAATAAAAACGAAGGAGAATGGACATTTTGGACATTTTTTTTTTATTCCAGCACAAACGTCCAACGAATTGTATCTGGAGTTATAAATCAAACGGCAAAAAGTGATGAGGCTTCGTTCACAGTCAAATACACTGGATTGCCGGTTAATTATGACACAACTCTTCACATCCTTGATACAGATTATGATTCATTTGCAGTCGTTTGGTCTTGTAACGCATTGGCCGGTCCCGTTGGACACACCGGTCAGTACAAATTAAAATTTTCCTCTGATTTTGAATTGACAGACAAATTTTATGAAATTAAAGAACAAATTTCTCTTGATACATTTCTTTCTTTTTTTTCAACAGAATCCGTATGGATTTTAGCTCGACAGAGAATTCCAGATGAGCAAGAGTTGCAAACGGCTTACGGTGTTCTGGACAAATTTAAAATATCGCGAACATTCTTTGTGAAAACTGATCAAACCAACTGCGAGAAAGAGGGTAAAACAGTCAAACATTATTGATATGATTCTAAAAAGGAACTAAACTGCAATTTTCTTCTCTGGTGATTTAGGTGAGCCAATTGACACTGGGTACGATAGTGTTGCTGAAGACGAGGTAGAGGTGAACAACCAATATGGGCATGAAAATCCACAAATTCATCAAGTGCAACATATAGCTCACGTTGAAAATTTACAACAATTTTCGCCAGCATATCCAGTGCAACCCATCTACCGTCCACACATTCATAACCACGGCCAACCGGTTTATTTCAAACAAAATGATGTTCCAACCGAAAAAAGTGCGGGAAATACCGTTGAGACGGAGAACAAAATAACCGAAACCAAGACGATTGAGACCAAAACCGAACAAGGCGAGAAAATAACGAAAACAGAACAGCCCGCAAAGATAGAGAAAACGGAACTGGCAGAGAAATCGGACACAATTGAATCATCAACAAAACTACCAGCTTCAATAATTGAGATTCTTGGTGTCAATCCTACAGCCAAGATATAAAATAGAAAAAAGAAAATATTTTTATTCATTAAGAAATGCAAACCATTGTCAATTTCAATTCCTATCGCTAAATATCATCATTCCTAAATCAATATCATTTGCTCATCATAAAACTATTTATTTATTTATTTTGAATGCAATTTTTGTAACGAATAAAACGATTAAATAAAATAATCCATATCGTATTAATTGTATCGTGGCTCGGAAAATATGCGCGAAGTTGAATTGGTAATTTTTTATGAATATCATTCAAGTGTATATGGAGGCAAGTAGCCTGAAAAGAATGGCGCTAATTTTGCATGGAAAATTGCATTTGCTAAAATCTAGTTCATTATCTTTACTTCCACATCGCAACTCCTTTTCTATTTAAGGCAAATTAAAAGCATACAAATATTTATTTACGCCAAATTACCGCCCGACTTATTGTTAGACGAAACGTTCTCCGTTTTGTTGACAAAGATTAAAAGTAAGAATGGCAAATATACAAACACACGAAAACACATATTTGGAGCAAAAATAGAAATACGGCCACTATTGTTGTCGCAAGCATAAGTATGTTTGTCATTTCTCCTCGTTTGACGCATATTTATCAGCCGCCACCGCCACTTTAAGTTGATCGATGGTCTCTTTTTCTTAAGTAAATACATGGCAAAAAGCATTGCTTCAATTTTACAGTGAATTCGAGAAACAAATATACTCTGCCACACAGCCAGCCACTATCACTCGTCCTCTTTGTGTTACAATTTCCCATTGAAAGTGTTCGGCCTAAGTGAGTGTTTGTGTTACGCCGCCTAGAGGCTTTGATCAAGCCACACGGGCTCTGTATGCCGGATCATCGTTGTATGAATACTCACATTTATGCGATTACGATCATAAATAATCTTCCAGCGCATAAAATATCACCGCGTACCATGAGAATGGCATTATTGTGTATTTGTACGTGTGTGATGGTGCGCAAATAGACTTTAGCGTGAATACATTTCGTTTTACCGTTATTTTCTTAATAATTTTCGACTTCGATCTTCTATATAAGGAATATGCGGAATCGAGTATCGGCACAGTATTCCTCCAGACGTTTTTGGAGTAACAGTCAACAATTTTGCCACGCATTGGAATTTTACAATTTTCAAGGGATTTTTGTTGTTCATTCGATGGTTTTGGTGTTTTAATTTTGGTTAGACTTAATTTTTGGAAATATGATTTACGTTAAATCGCTTTTTGCTTGTGTTTTTCTCGCTGCAATCGTGACGGCACAGATTCCGAATTTTGGAAGATGTCCTGAATACGGTAAAATGAAATTAAATTTTGATCAAAGTTTTCGTTCTTTTATTCGGACTTTTTTGTTTCAATAAAATCGAGAACCATTTTTCATCATAAAAATTTAATTGTTTTTTTTTTTTTAAATCGAAAATTGATTTTTTCCCATTCCATTAAAAAAAGATGCGATGAGAGATTTCGACCGAGAGAATTTCCTTGGGAAATGGTACGAGAATGAGCGTTACTTTGCCGTGTCGGAATTGGCGTCGCGCTGTGTGTCTGTTACGTACGAGCGACGTGCTGATGGCAAAATCTACGTGAGCAACGAAATGACGAATCGATTGTAAGGAAATTTTCGAATTTATCTAAAAACGAAGGAGAATAGACATTTTAAGTATGTTTTTTTATTCCAGCACAAACGTCCAACGAATTGTATCTGGAGTTATAAATCAAACGACAAAAAGTGATGAGGCTTCATTCACTGTCAAATACACTGGATTGCCGGTTAATTATGACACAACTCTTCATGTCCTGGAAACTGATTATGATTCATATGCGGTCGTTTGGTCATGTAACGCATTGGCCGGTCCCGTTGGACACACTGGTCAGTAAAAATTTAGATCTATTGGGGATTTTGATAGAAGGAATTTGACTTGATACATTTCATTTTGTGTTTTCAACAGAATCGGTTTGGATCTTAACTCGAGAGAGAGTTCCAGATGGACCAGTGTTGCAAGCAGCATACGGTGTTCTGAACAAATTCAATATAGCGCGAACATTCTTTGTGAAAACCGATCAAACCAACTGCGAGACAGAGGGTAAAACAGTCAAACTAATGTTATTCAAAAAAGAAATTAAATTTACGCTTCTTTGTCAATTTAGGCGATGTGGAGGAAGCTATTGATGGTCCAGATAGTGGTTACGATATTGTCGTTGACGATGAGACAGTGGGTTCTGAATTGGTAAACAATCAATATGGACATGACAATCCACAAATTCACCAAGTGCAACATATTGCTCATGTTCAGAACTTGCAACAATACGCACCAACATTCCCAGTCCCACTTCAGCCGCTCTACCTTCCGAATGGTCAACAGGTCTATTTCAAGCAGAATGATGTTCCAACTGAAAAAAGTGCGGGAAGTATCATCGAGGCAGAAAATAAAATAGCCGCAACCAAGACGATTGAGATCAAAACCGAACAACCCGAGAAAATAACGAAAACAGAACAGCCCATAAAGCTAGAGAAGATGAAGCAAACCGTTAAAGTAGATAAAATGGAACAGCCAGAGAAATCGGAAACAATTGAACCAACCACAAAACTACCAACTCCAATGATTGAGATTCTTGGTGTTAATGCCACAGCGAAAATATAAAATAGAAAGAAGAAAATATTTTTATTCATTAAGAAATGCAATCAATTGTCAATTTCAATTGCTATCGCTATATATCAAATGCTCAACTACTCCTGAATCAATTTCATATGCTTATCATAAAACTATTTATTTATTTATTTTGAATACAATTTTTTATAACGAAGCAAATGGTTAAATAAAATAATCCATAAAATGTTTCAGAAAATCCCTTACTGTTTGAATAAACCGCCGACACCATGAAATTGTATTCCCACAAAAATGAGGTTATGTATTCGTTGTTCGTGAGCAAACTTCACTCCGTACATCGTGACATGTTTTTCTATCGGTCTCATATTGCAATGACAGTGATGTTTATTAAACAGCGTGGATATTCAGTTCAGTTAGTTGCAAAAATACATAAATTTTAAGCGAAATCCATAGGTAAACACACGTGAAAATGGCTGATATTGACGAATTGTTCGGTGGTTTCGATGAATCAATTGGTTTTGATGAGGGCGAAGCAGCGAATCCAGTTGTTGTCGAAGACGAAGAAGAGCAGCAAAATGAGTAAGTTGTCATGAAAACGTGTAAGAAAAATAGGGCCAACTGATTACTGCATTTTTCCAGAAGTACACTATCGAAATCAGAAAAGAGACCGCTCGAAATTGAAGCCGAAGACAACGACGGGGAGGAGAAGCGAAAGAAACCACGAACAGAGGATGGCACAAAAGTGACGGAGTCAATTTTGGATGATATCCGATTGGAGGATATTGAATCACGTATCACAGTTCATGTTATCGAATCACCCGAGTCATGCACGCACGAAGTAGCGGTTTATCCAGGTAAAATATCACAAAATGACTTGAATTTAGATTGAATAGTTCAAACAATGTCGAATTCGATTCATTAGGTCAAACGTACATTCCGTTGGAACCTGTGACCGGTACACCTGCCAAAGAATATACATTCGTGTTGGATCCATTTCAAAAGGAAGCCATTCAGTGCATAGAAAATGATCAATCAGTCTTGGTATCGGCGCACACCTCAGCCGGAAAGACTGTTGTAGCCGAATATGCGATAGCACGCTCACTGAATAACAAACAACGAGTCATTTACACAACACCAATCAAAGCACTGTCAAATCAAAAGTATCGTGAATTCAGCGAAGAATTCAAGGATGTCGGTCTAGTTACTGGTGATGCTACCATCAATCCAACGGCATCATGTTTGATTATGACCACAGAAATTTTGCGAAATATGTTGTATCGAGGCTCGGAAATTATGCGCGAAGTTGGTTGGGTAGTTTTCGATGAAATCCATTACATGCGTGACAAAGAGCGTGGTGTCGTATGGGAGGAAACATTGATTTTGTTGCCAGATAATGTGCATTACGTGTTCTTATCGGCTACAATTCCCAATGCTCGCCAATTCTGTGAATGGATCACGTTTGTTCACAAGCAAAATTGCCATGTCGTTTACACGGACTATCGCCCAACACCACTGCAACATTACCTATTCCCAGCTGGCGGTGATGGCATCCATTTGGTAGTCGATGAAAAAGGTCAGTTCAAAGAGGATAATTTCAATGCGGCAATGAATGTGTTGGCTACAGTTGGTGAAGCATCAAAAGGCGACCAAAAAGGAAGAAAAGGTGGACTCAAGGGTACCAACAGAGGAGAGTCAAACATTTATAAAATCGTAAAAATGATCATGGAACGTAATATGGCACCGGCCATAGTTTTTTCGTTCAGCAAAAAAGAATGCGAAGTTTATGCGATGCAAATGGCTAAATTGGACTTCAATTCACTCGAAGAGAAAAAGCTGGTCGACGAGGTATTCAATAATGCGATGGATGTGCTATCGGAAGAGGATCGTCGTTTGCCTCAAGTTGAGAACGTGTTGCCATTGTTGAGACGTGGCATTGGTATTCATCATGGTGGTTTGCTGCCCATTTTGAAAGAAACCATCGAAATTTTGTTCGGCGAAGGTTTACTCAAAACACTATTCGCCACCGAAACATTCGCCATGGGATTAAACATGCCGGCCAGAACGGTTCTGTTCACCAGCCCACGCAAATTCGATGGCAAGGAGATGCGTTGGATCACATCGGGTGAATACATTCAGATGTCAGGTCGAGCTGGTCGACGTGGTCTCGATGATAAAGGTATTGTCATCCTAATGATTGACGAAAAAGTATCAAAAGTTGCTGGCAAAGAGATTGTCCAAGGCAAAGCCGATCCAATTAATTCAGCCTTTCATCTGACATACAACATGGTGCTGAATTTACTGCGTGTCGAAGAAATCAATCCCGAATACATGATGGAACGAAGCTTTTTCCAATTCCAAAATCAATCGTCCATCCCTGACATGTATCGACGCGTCGAAAAGAAGCAAAAAGAGGTGGATTCACTGAATATTCCAATGGAATCAAGCATAGCCACCTACTATCACATTCGCGATCAATTGGATAAATTGGGCAAAGAATTTAGATATCATCTAACGAAGCCCGTGTATCTGACGCCATTTTTGCAACCGGGTCGCATGGTGAAAGTGCAAAAGGAAAACGGTGAAGAATTCGAATGGGGAATCGTTGTTAATTTCCGTAAGCAACAGAGCGACGATAAGAACCCAGCCAAATCTGAGACTGTTACAATTGTCGACATTTTACTGCATGTTGATGATGACTTTGCGAAAACCAACACCGCCAAGCCATGTCCAGCGAATAAACAAGGCTCAATTGAAGTGGTGCCGGTGCTTCATTCGCTTATTTCACGAATCAGTTCGTTGCGTGTTTACTATCCGAAGGATTTACGGCCGGCTGAAAGTCGACGTTCCGTATTGAAAACGATAAACGAGGTGAAGAAGCGTTTCCCGAAAGGTCCACCACTGCTTAATCCTATCAACGATATGAATATCAAAGATGAAGACTTCAAGCGCGTAGTCGAAACCATTGACAAATTCGAAAAACAACTCTACACCCATCCGTTGCATGAATCGCCCCAGTTGAGCGAATTTTATGCTGAATATTCAAAGAAAATTCAGTTGTTGGCCGAATTAAAAGGCGAAAAAGATGCTCTGCGCAAAGCCAAAAGTCTGCTACAGATGGATGAATTGAAGCATCGAAAACGAGTTCTACGGCGACTTGGATATTGTACACAGGCTGATGTCATCGAATTTAAAGGGCGTGTAGCGTGCGAGCTCAGCTCAGCTGATGAGTTACTCATTACCGAAATGATTTTTAACGGCGTTTTCAATTCATTGAGCATCGAACAGAGCGTCGCACTGTTGTCGTGTTTTGTGTGCGATGAACGAAGCAATGAAGCACCAAAAACCGCCGAAGAACTCTCTGGGCCATTACGACAGATGCAAGATTTGGCACGACGCATTGCTAAAATCTCTGTCGAATGTAAACTCGAAATGGATGAAGAAGCCTACGTGGAAAAGTTTAAGCCATTCTTGATGGACGTTGTGTTGGCATGGTGCAAAGGTGCATCATTCAAATCGATAGCTGGAATGACTGACATTTTTGAAGGTTCAATCATTCGGTGTATGCGACGTTTAGAGGAATTGTTGCGACAAATGTGCCAAGCCGCCAAAACCATCGGTAACACGGAACTCGAAAATAAATTCTCCGAAGGTATTCGACTATTGAAACGTGACATTGTATTTGCCGCCTCATTGTATCTTTAATTCGATTTGATAACTAAATAAAATTTGACTTATTTTAAATGTCGTTTTATCACCTTTTTCCATTGTAAATAAACTGATAGAGATTAAAATGTGAAAAAAAATTGGTCAAAAGTGGTTTGATTGTCTTGAAAAATTATTTTCCCATTGGATTTAGCAAAAACGGCGGAGAAATCAAAGGTAATCATGCGAGAGAAAAAATGAAAACAAGTTTCTAGTTGTGGTTATGTTAACCGCTTGCTATGGAAAAAACCATAAATAACTCTCAAAGTTTGGCCACCAACAAATTTGAATAGATGCAATCGAAATCACGTGTTCAAGTGAACATATTTTCTGGCGGATATTCTCATGTTTTCTAAGAATTACTTGCGGTTTCAGAAGATTTTCAAAGAACTTTTACCTATTTCAAATGATGTTTTAGAGCCAACAAGAAAAGCAAGAACAATAGTGTCAATTTCAGAAACAAGCAACCATTTGTGTTGAAAGCGAAAGATTTTACCTTTTTTTTTGTCCATTCCATTCTGAACCTAAAAAATCTAAAAATAACCTAAAAAACGTGAAAAGCCTGCGAAAAACTACAACTAATTGGTTTTGAATGAAAAGAATGTGTTTTTGTTTGTTTTTTAGTGGCAATCAAATACGATTTATTCGTAAAAAGGTTTTGAAATCAAAAAGTTTTCATGTCATAAATGCCGCATTCAACCGCCGTGTTGAATGTTTGGAACAAACGGTGTGGTTGTGCTCTCTGTGAATGAAATCAAAACAACAAAACGAATTGATTAGTACAACTCTGGAAAAAATGTGGTTTGAATGATTTTCCTTCAAAATTGAAGGTGTTCATGTTAATTTGGGTTGAAATTTTGAAGCAAAACGATTGAATGTTTATTCTTACCTGTGGAATCATTATGATTCGAGCATCTGGTCCCCAGTTTACTTGGAACGGGCACGCATCTTTCTGCGCTTACGCTTAAGTCTACGCATACGCTTCTTACGCCACTGTAAAGAAAAATCAAACAAAATTCGATTAGATAAATGGATTGATAAAGTCAATGTAACACGGGCTCAAATAAGTTAAGCAAAGAAATTCTTCAATGCAAAATGTGTTCAATGCAGCGACGAAAAAAACCATGCTTTTTCCCGAATTGTGAGGTTATGTTCTTCAAAAAATACATGAAATCCACTTCAAAATCAACATTTTGGGCAAAAAACATCACATTCAAAAGGTAATTCCGATGATTTAAATCATTATCAATTGAAAATTCAACGAATCGCTGCACAATTCAACGGATTTTAAAAAAATTTGTAAAAAAAAACACGTGTATTCCAAGTAATTGATATCTGATGGTATGAGCACCGCACATCATAAAATTCAATACTTTTTCTATACACTTTTTTTTTCTTTTACACGAAAAACTTTTCGGTATTTGTGAAAAAACACTTTTATTTCAACACTGAACACATTTTGAAATTGAATTTGGTTTTATTTTCAATGTGCTAAACCAAAAAAAGAAAAATTGTCCGGTTAAAAGTTTATCTTACCTTAGCTCTCATTTTAATTCACAAAAAGACGACTGTCTTTATTCAGAGAACAAAATGAAATGGAAGAATCGAAGTGTGTCGGCTACGCTCCTACTATCGGCTTCCAATGGTGGCCGACGAGAAAAACGTTGATTCGACATTTTGCCGATAGGCGGTAGATTAGTGTTGCCCATTGGCAATAGTGTGTTCGTTTCGTTTTGCGATAACATTTTGATTTTATCATTAGTTTTTACATGAAAAATCTCTCGCAAAATTGATAAGAAAAATTTAAATGACGAATTTAATAATTATGTGATTTTTTCCTGTAAAAAATAAATTAGATAAATATTGTTGTCAATTCCATTTGAATGGAATATCAAGCCCATCATCCCATTGTAACGTGATGATGATGATGCTTGTGAAGCTTTCGAAGAAGATATTTGTAAACACATCGCAATGCCTATCAATGTATTGTTAAATCACTGTCTGTCAAAGCATAGTCGACGAATTTACTAAACAATTCTACGCCCAAACAACATCCGACTACTGTTGATATTTGTATAAAACTGTTGTTTTCAACACATTTTCCGCATAAATACGAGTGAATTTGACGATTTTCAAGTGGTTTAGCAGCATTTATTTGCACTAAACTATTTCGTGCTTTGTATAAATTGGTTCATTCGTTGAGTTTGTTTCGAAGGGTGCCAAGCCTTTTGTCAATCACCTGATTTAGCCAACGTAGTATAAATGATAGGAAAACCAACCATCAGAATGCCAGCCGCAATCGATCCGAGTATTGTGAAGATAGCTGTAGAATTGGAGAATTCGCTCAGGAATACAACGCACACCGCTCAACTGATTGAGTTCGATCAGAAGAGCACATTAACAGGTAAATGAGTCACACATAGACAAGTGTGAACACATTTGAATTGGAAATTTATGTGAATTACTGAATCAACTAATTGATTGTAATGTTTCGATTGTAGTGATAATTCGAAATTTATGCCAAAATTGGAACTTGAGTGACGATGAGAACTATGCGTTGCAGTTTTGTGAGAAGAATTACAAAAACTATGTGACAGAGAAGAATCGGAATGAAGTGAAAAATGGCTCTGTATTGCGATTGTGTCATTCGCCAACGAAAACCGCTCACGATATCTTGGAAACGATCAAAAGCGCCTCAAACAATGAGAAAACTCGTGTACTGGGGAATTTGGCATCGTTGAGCTCCGATCTGACATTCGCATTGGAATTTATCAAAGAGCAAGGTTTGAACATCATCATTACGATGATTGAAAATGAACAATGCATTGGCGACATGCTCAAATTCATAATGCTGTCATTCGTTGAGCTAATGGATCATGGCACTATCTCGTGGGATATACTACAAGCAAAATTTATCATTCGAAATATTTACTTCATCAATCATCCATCGACCGTACCAGATGAAGTGGTTGAATGTGCTTTGTCGACACTTGAGAATATCATACAGAACAGTAGCAATCACTCGGGCATCATCGAAAGTGATGTGCCATTTAACAGTCTTCTGGTGCTATTGCAAGGCACAAAGTCACAAGACATGAAATCGCAAGTCATCCAACAGAACACAATTGCCCTGATCAACGCTCTATTTATCAAAGCAGATGATAGCCGGCGGCAGGCGATCGCAAAAACGTTGAGCGAAAAATCATTCCGAGCCGCACTGTTGGAAACAGTGGGCACTGAAAACATTGGCATATCGCATCAATTGTATGTGCTACAAACATTGACTCTTGGATTGCTGGAGGATCGCATGATGATGCCAATGAATGCACAAGATCAGGCGGCCAATGATAAGGTCAAGGAATTACGTCGAATTGCCTTTGATGAAGGGATTTTCGTTGAATCACCGCCGGATGTGCATAGGCGCAACAACTCCATCGTTAGTACTGGCCATTACAAGAAACTTGGGTTCAAATGTGACTTGAATCCAGCACAAGATTTTATCGAAACACCACCGGGGCTATTGGCTTTGGATTGCATGCTGTACTTTGCTAGGAACTATACACAACAATATACAAAGGTATGGCATTTTCTATCAAATTTTTATCCCAATTGAAATTTGAATTGGTCATTAAATACTGAATCGAATCATCTCTTTTATTCAGGTTGTCCACGAGAACAGTTATCGTGCTGACGAGCACGAGTGTCCATTCGGCCGGACAAGCATCGAATTGGTGAAGCTGCTGTGTGAAATATTGCACATTGGCGAGGCTCCAACTGAACAAGGACAAGAGTTCCATGCGATGTTCTTCACTCATGATCATCCGTTTGAAGAGTTTTTCTGCATATGCATCGTTGTACTGAATCGCACATGGAAAGATATGCGAGCAACAAGCGAAGATTTTGCCAAAGTGTTCAGTGTGGTGCGTGAGCAAATTCAGCGTACATTGAAAGAGCGCCCCAAAAATTTGGATGATTTCAAGACGAAAATCAATTCATTCACATATACCAAAATTACCCAATTGCGCCAGCAAGAGCGTACATCAAAAGAGGAATGTGAATCGACTGCCTCGGCAATTGTCAAGCTGAAGGAGAAAATAACGCCCGAAATCATTGAATTGATCAAGGCACAACGATTAGGATTTTTGGTCGAAGGAACGAGATTTTCGAAATACTCACGCGGCGCTCGAAGTAAAGATAAATTCTGGTATGCTCGATTGAGTCCAAATCACAAGGTTATCCATTATGGTGATTGTGATGAGAAAACAGTGCCAACGCTGGAGGAGCTGGGCAATAAAATTCAAGTGTATGAAATCAAACAGTTGCTTGTCGGCAAAGAATGTCCTCACATGAAGGAATTGCGTTCACGCAAATCGGCCATGAATCTTGGCTTTTCCATCACATTCGACAACATGGATCATTCCACATTGGACTTTGTTGCGCCAGACGAAACCACCTGGAATTATTGGACCGATGGTGTTAATGCTCTACTCAGTTTGCCCATGGTTAGCAAGCAGAAGGATGAAGATTTGAAAACATTACTCTCAATGGAAATTAAACTTCGATTGCTCGATACTGAGGGTGTTGATATTTCACAAGAGCCACCACCAATTCCAGACGATCCAGAAAACTATGACTTCTGTTTTGATAACTAATTTCTTTTGTTCAACCAAAGCATCATTTGATTCTTCCAAATCACCAAATTTTATATAATTCTATCGAATGTATTTATGATAAAAATTAGTATGTTTAGGACCTAAGATAATGGAAATTACTCAATTTTCCAGTATTAAACGCATTGGATTTTTTGCACAATTGTCCAAATAGACGATATTCTCTACAACGAACTCAATCAAAGACGGAAAGAACATCAACAAACAAGCCAAAATTATATGTCAAACTCTTCGATGCTCAATGTCAATTTATTTTTTAAGAATACCAAAATATTTACATATCTTTATTTTATACGTATGAGCCAGTTTGGTACATTTTATTTTTTTAATGAATCATAATAAAGGGAAAAATAACAAAAACTCTCGCATTGTTTAAATATTTTCACGACGAAAAAAAAACGGCATAAAAACAATTTTGATTTGTTTTCCTTGTCCTCAGTCAATAACCTAAAAATTGTTTAAATGTTATGTCAAAGCCCAAGTTTGTTTACATTCTGAAGGACCCAATTTATCCAGTCAAAATTCGTACACTGCGCATGTTCCTGACATATAAAATTTTTTTTGTGTGTTTCACATCGTGAATCCATTCGTGTTTTGCATGTTCCATACATTTTTTCATCTGCATTGAAACGTGTCACTCGTAATTAAATTCATAAGGCAGAAAATCCAAAATAAACGGGTTACATAAAAAAGACGTAATATTCAGGTGATTTGTGTCTGTTAAAGGAACAACATAACAGCTCAACATCTCCTGAATCGTGCAGAGAGTGAGAGTGAGAAAAATTTTCAGTGACCAGTTCGAAACGGAAAATTCATTTATCGTGGCGTCAGAAAGCGGAATCAGAACGCAGAATAGTAAGGTTCATCCGAGCCCAGGCGTTGCTCGTAGTATTGTCTGGGCCATATCACCATTAACAGCATCATGTAATATGACCGAAGATCATGAGCACGCTCATACAGAGGAGGAATCAACGCCAATCGAGGAAAAAGATTCCAATCTGTTGTGCTCAGAATTGGTCGTACACATCGATGACATTTTTGATGTCATTAAAAATGGGTGAGTTGAGTCACAGAAAGAAAAGAAACAAATTGATTGGTCATAGGAAAAACAAATTAATTGGTTTGACCGATACAATCTAATCGATACCCGTTCTATCCTCTTTTGTTTTTATTACTAATCGATACACAGTGAATTGGCTGACGTTGAGAATTTCGTGGAGAAATTCGGAATTGAAACGTTGAGTGCTCGTGATAAACATGGTTATACACCAGCTCATTGGGTCGCGCTCGATGGAAATGTTGATATGATGCGATATTTGGTTGAGCGTAATGCTCCAGTCGACTTGCGTTGTTTGGGAACACAAGGACCAAGGCCAATTCATTGGGCTTGTCGCAAAGGTCATGCTGGTATGTAATGGTCAAAATCTTCAACTCACTTGAAAATAACAATGTTGATACATTTCATTCTTTTCTATTTTCTGTAGCTGTGGTTCAAGTGCTGCTCCAGGCTGGTGTCGGTGTGAATGCAGCTGATTTAAAAGGCTTAACACCGCTAATGACTGCTTGCATGTATGGCCGTACAGCGACGGCCGCTTATTTGCTCGGTATGAATGCACAGAATCATTTAACTGATATAAATGGTGACACCGCTTTGCACTGGGCCGCTTACAAAGGTCATGTTGATTTAATGCGATTGCTGATGTACTCCGGAGTTCATCTGCAAAAAACCGACAACTTTGGATCAACACCATTGCACTTGGCATGCTTATCCGGCAATTTATATTGTGTACGAATGCTTTGCGAGAAGAACAATGTTGATCTGGAGCCAAAGGATAAGAATGGCAAGACACCATTAATCGTAAGTACCTGTTTATAAAATAGACCAATCTATTCCGTTCCGTTCAACCATGTGTATCTTCCATTGCCACAGCTTGCTCAAAGCCATCGTCACTTGGACATTGTAAAGTTGTTGAAGAATATGATTAAGAAACGATCACGTTGGTTTCCACCATTGTCAGAAGTGTGGGGACTACTGTTTGGCGGTGCGGGAAATTCAAAAGGGCCTTTACTTTTGTTTGTATGCTCAGTTTTGCTTTGGTGCTATCCCATGTATATGATACGCGTTATTCCAAAAACATGGAACCTTCTGCGAAAATCGCACTACTGCTTCATCTATTGGAACATCTTGATGTGGATAAGCTGGATTATTGCAAATCGTCGCGATCCGGGCTACATTCCTTTGAACTCAGATCAATACTATCGAGCGATCCGACAAATTCCATACTTGGTGCGGATAACCTAGTTATTTTTTTTTTTTGAATAATCACATTTCTCTTCGAAATAATTTTCCGATTCCATAACACAATATTAAAACTGAATCGAATTTTAGGAAAAATGGAAGAAACGGAATCTCAGCCTGACACGACTCTGCCATAGTTGCCGTTGCTTGAGACCACTTCGCGCGAAGCACTGCCGCGTATGCAATAGGTGCGTATAGATGCAAACCCACATTTGTTTCCTCTATCAACATATTTAATGTTTATTTTCGTTAATTTTTAGATGTGTCAGCTTCTTCGATCATCACTGTCCATTCATCTACAATTGCGTTGGACTGAGAAACCGAATGTGGTTTTTCCTGTTTGTACTGAGCGTGGCTATCAATTGCTCATTCACAATTTACTTTGCCTTATACTGTGTTATGATCGAAGGATTTACCATACTCTATATGCTTGGGCTGTTAGAGGCGGTCACCTTCTGTGGTCTCGGTTGGATTCTTACTTGCACCTCGGTAGGATTTTTTTCTTTCTCTCTCGTTGTAATTCAATTTATTTTCATTCAAAATTTCATTACTGAACTCATTGAAAATAAGGGAGAAAATTCTAATTTGTTGAAACAACATTTTTCTCCCCCTTCAGATCCTGCACGCTTGCATGAATCTAACCACAAATGAGATGTTCAATTATAAGCGGTATGCATATTTGCGCGATAAACGTGGACGCTACCAAAATCCATTCTCTCGAGGTCCATTCATGAATTTGATTGAATTCTTCGTCTGCTTACCCGATCGTTACGATGACGAAAACGATGACATCATCCTTGGCGATCATCATTTGTGACAATATTATCGATTTTGAATGTATATGTTTTCTTGCAATTTAACTTAGAGCCAAGAGCAAAAGCTTTCAGAATAAACAAATCAGCACTCAGAATATTTCTATTTGAATTTTAAAGCTTATTCCATGGTGACAACAACAACAAAAAAATAAATGTTCCGGCACAAAATTGCACTTTTAATGTATTTTATTCGTCAACAGCAAATGCGTTCAATAAACATTCTGATAATTTGTTATCATTCGCTGAAAATAAATTAGTTTACTTAAGGTGTCAAAGTAGTTACTTAATGCTAAAAATTCTATTATTTTAATTCAACATATTTGGAGATTTCTTTTCTTGGGAAACAGGTTCTGAACATAAGTCCATCGCTACTATATTTGATTAGACTTTTAGCTTAAAACTTATATTTAACTTAAGTTTAACATTTTTTATATAAAAATTGCGTTCATTTTCGCATACTATTTGTTATAACGTTTATTTCTATGTTTTTGTTACTTTTCTGCATTTTTATTAATGATAATCTGGTATCATTTTGGCACTTGAACTTATTTTCTAACCGGCAATCGTTTCATACCAGTTGAACCAATTGCGGCATTTGATGCGTCAACTGATTGAATTCGAAAATCTTTGACACGATGTTTCCGAAATGAGCAAACGTTTTTTCTTCGCTACAGTAGCACGATAGACGATAGTAGTTGAGCGTTTGCAGTCGCATGAAGACTGGCAAATGTTCCATAATCAATTCGGGATTGATCCAGAAATGGCGCAGCGTTAATGTTTTTAGATTCTTGGAGCAGTACTCATTGATCAGCGTGAGCAATTGTCGTTGGCCCTTAAATGCATTTCGATACGGTAGATCGAAAACAAACCATTTTCGTGACACGTGCAACGATGTAATCAAATGACCGAAATTTTGAAACAAACGACGAGCTTGTTTGATGCCAATTTTATCCGTACCATTCAATAAGTGCTCCATGCTGAAGAATCGGCCGAATTTCACGCGAAAGAAGTATTCCGACAGCTTTTTTAGCCGCACCGACACCTGTTGGTATTTTCGTTAGAAATGAAAACGTTTGAAAGATAGATGACGACAAAACTCTATTCAATTTACCTCAGCCATGGCGCACAACTCGGTGATTGTCAAAAAATCCATAACTTCCAAGATGCAATGATCATTCAGTTCCATGAAGTGGGAATATGGTGTTGTGATTGGAGTGGTTGGTGTGATTGATGTAGCTGGGGCTGCACATTGTGATTGTTGTGTTAATCGTGCCACTTCCTTTCCAATATCATGCAACACCACAACGGCATACTTCAATGGAAAATCACTTTTTCGACCTCTGGCAATCTGGCGATCAGCTACTTTCGCATTCAACTGTATCGTTGGCTTTGACCGCTTTGCCATCGATCTCAATCCATACGTATGGTCCACATGCTCGGATAATTTTCGCTTCATTTTACACGGTTCACTCGAAGTTCAATGGTCAATCGAATCGCTGATTGTTCAATGGTCAAAAGTCCACAACTGACTCCTGCAAAGAGACAACCATTCATGAAAACAGTTAGATGAGAAAATATTCATGTACGTTTCTTTTTGTCAAACGATTTGCCAATGAAAATGTAGTTTTGACACACACTTTTCGGAAATAAGTCAAGTGAATGTCAATATTCAATAAACGATGGTCAAGTTTAAACCATGTTGTAACATCTTGCTAAATTGTGTATGAAACTGATGCTGATTTTGACAAGCCGGCAAATATTAAACGCAAAACATATCAAAAATCAATGTTTTTTTCACAATTTTCACTCATCAAATCACTTTACTGCCAATGACTAATTCGATTGCTCCTTACCTCAATAGATATTTTAATCCAAAAGTCCGAACGTGCATCAAACTCCAAATAAATGTGTTGCTGTGATTAGTTTCAGTGTGCGACTGTTGACGAGCGAAACACTTTGACATTTGCAAGCCAATAGCAAATGGTTTGTGCAACAACGTGCACCGACACAAGGCATGCCGCACCGTTCTAATGGTGTGTGTGTGTGTGTGTACGTGAGGGAGACAGAATGTTTAATGATCGCAGTACACATGGCCTCTGTGTGTGTTTTTGTTCGGTCGTGGGGTTAATGTTCAATATACATTATCATTGGCTCCGTTACCGACTCATGTGTTGGTATTTTCATTAGAAAAGAGAACGTTTGAAAGATAGACAACGACAAAACTTTATTCAATTTACTCGTATTCACAATTTTCTTTGTTCTAATGATTTTTTTTCAATTCTTTTCCTTCTTTAGTCAATGTTTCTTTTCTCTCAAAACGTCGATGAATATGTTCCCTGTTAAAAAATGTTTCTATATCCCTTACTTTAACCAGATTATTTGCAATTTATACATAAAAAAATGGATAATACTAATTTTAGAAAGAAGTCAGTTTTGAAATTGATTTCTTCGTTGTTTTTTGTCAATTTTCTTCGAATGGGCTAATATTCCCCCAAATATTCAGATTTTCTTATTACAAATTTAGATCAACTAAAAATTAAACAATTCTATTCATTTCCGACGATGCAAACATTTAAACGTTGTCTAAATGTGCATGTCTGTTGGCACCCGATGTAATTAGCTTCGATGGCTGTTTTCAAATCATTGTCTCGTCGACACTATTATCATAAAACTGACACACAGACGGAAAACAGACAGAAGCCAAATATACTTCTAGTGGCGAATCGAGATGTTGACCGATGCGATCATATCCCCAAAGTTGCCCCATAAACGTCCCAAAAGTACCATGTCGGATGCGTTGGTCAATCGAATGTCCGCATGGCTTGTTCGGAACTGGAACGATAGTCGGGCGAGTTGTCGCATACGACGGCTTGTTTCCGCCAAATTGCACAAATCTAAAATGACACCAATGAAAATATCCATTGCAATTATTCATTCAAAGCACAAATCGTATCCAAATGTTATACCTTCAAGCGAGAGATAATCGATCACTTCAAGCAAAACGTATGCATTCAAGTCCGAAATGTGAGGTTGAGTTGGTTTTCGAACAGGCACCTTACGTTTGCGAACATCCTCCTTTTTGCCCATCGGAATATAGTCGGGATTGTGATTTTCTTTGTTTGAGCCGGAATATGGCTTCTTTTGGAGCTTCAATCGCTTGGTTGGCGGTGGTGCGTCGTCCAACATTTTCAACACGATTTCGATGGCGATAATTCTAAAGCAAACGAACAAACATTCACAGTGATTGAATGGAGAGGTTAAAAAAACCAATGATAGCTAAAGAAATACTTACCCAACAATTCAATTGAATGATTAACGATGATTCCAATTCCGATGGAAATGATTACGGCTTCGCTTTTGTTTATGGGCTCTAGCTTATGCTTATTCACCGTACTGCATCAAATCCAAACAGTTTTTCTCACCTTTTTAACACAGTATCGTCTCACCTTTTCTATGTTACAGTGTGTTCTTTGGATAGAAACCGAATTCAATGATACAAATTTGAAAAAAAAATCAATGCCAATCAATGCTAAATAATGCCACTTTACCTTTTCTAGCGATAATTTCCAAATATTCACAGAATTTTAGGGAAACAACGATTTCAATGATGAACACTTAAATCAATGTCTGCTCCATCGTGTGTCAAACGAAAAAATGAGCTAAATTTGGCGGTTGTTTGACACTTGAGAGAATGCGATGTAGAAATAGCTTACGTTCAAATGTACGATATCTCCTAACGGTATTGTCGACACAAAACGAAGAAGGTGTTTACTATCGATGCTCTGCAAATGCATGAGCAATTCGATGAGATGCCTTGAAACTGGATGATTAATTTGGTAATGCAATTGGAATTTTTCGATTCAATTTTATCTTCATGATAAATTTATTCAAAAAAAGGAACGTTTCATAATTCTATTCAATTTCTTAACCAAATCCGAGGTTTAACAAGTAAACAGTAAATTATTTCAATTTATATAAATTTCATCAAAATGTATAAATCTGTCTTAGAATATGTGCCTTAATGGCTAACAAAAATCCTTCATGGAACCAAAATGAATATGTATGGGTAACAATTGTCTTTTGTGTATGTTTTTTCTTCGACAAAAGAGTTGTTTCTCTTCCAAAAAAAAGAGTCGTCAATGTGGAATGACTTGGTGCATTTAAGCAAATCGCTTGAATGTGGTCAATGTGGTCAATGTGGTCGGCATGTGCTGCTGTCGGCTCTATCCGAAACGGTGGTTGATCAAGTCCGCCAAGTTCAAGTCGGCCAAGTTGTTCATTTGGTGCAGCTCTTGAATCTGTGATGATTGCCCACGGCGGTAAACCGTTTTGCTGCGTGTGCCGTATTGGCCTGGTGGTGAACCCTTCACCATGAACAAAAGAAGGGAAAATCAAATCAATTATTAATCAAAGAATTGTTACATTTTCTCGTCAATTTAATACCTTCATCATCATTTCCATGCCAAGCATTGAAATTCCCACGTACTCGGTCATTCCACTGATGCCAACGAGCGAATGGTTTGGCTGATTTTCGAATGTCAATTCGGTGAGCGTGTCAGTGCAATATTTGCTGACCAATGTGAGCAGCTTACCGACACCACCGCGTTCGTTAAGCCCATCCAAATTTATGGTGAGCGACGCAATCAAGTGGCCGAAATTGTACAGCAATCGGCGTACCTGGACCAATGTGAATTTGCCATCTGGCGTTTCGATCAATGATGACAGATTGAAGTCGCGATGCTTGGTGACGAAGAAGCGTTGCGCAATCTCCTTGTACTTGACGCATACCTCAGCCATCGCGCTTAAAACGTTGGGTGACATTTGCTCCAAAATCTTGGTTTGGCATTGATCGTCCAAATCGAGAAACGTCGATGAAGCCTCCTTGGGAGCCGATGCCGTTGATGGGCCAGCTTTTGCTTCATCCTTCGAATCCAATTTCGGTGAACCAGCGTTGGCTGTGGGAACCTTTCGTTTGCGCTGTTCTGTGTCAACCGGCGCCGATGATGGGTCAGGCTTCGGCTTGACATCCGATTCTGTGTTTGTGTCGCTTAGCTTGGCGCACTTTGATGGTGGTTGTTCTCCTTCCATCGTGAATCAAAACGATATTGGTATAGCCGATGAAATTCTTCACAAATCTCTGATGAAAAGAAATGAAATGTGTTTGAAAAAATGTTCAATTAAATGCTAATCATTGTCAGTTTTACCGTTACCGTTTGTTGAACTTCGGCTTTGTGCGGCAAACAAATTTCGATTGAAAGTGTCCTACGAATAAACAAAATGAACACAGTTGATGCGTCGTTCGAAAAAAGGCAACAACAACAACGATGGAAACACTTTTCACTGTAACGCGATTTTCGTGTGAATTTGGTTATGTTACGTTTTGTTGCACCAAAATCCTTGAAATTTTCTCGTTTTTTTTAGCTTTTGGCACTAAATTTCTTGAGATCCAATCGAATTTTCATGATTATGTACTTACTTTCAACAAATTGATGGCTATTCGGTGATATTGAATCGATTTTTCGCAGAAAAATCACGAAGCGCCAACGAAACAATGTGTTTTTGATGACAGTCTGAGTTGAAAAATGCTTCACTCACTCGTTGTTGTGAGAAAGAACGACGCTGGTTTACAGGTTGCACGTCATCAAACGAGAAAGATTACACGATTCAACTTGCGAAAGAGAGAAGGGATGCTTGTTGTGTTTGAGTCGAAAGCCACAGCACGGCATCACAGCTAACTAACACAATCGCACGATTGCGAATTCAAATCAATGCAAATTCCAAATGGTACACTCGGGCGGATTGAACTGTTTGTTTTTCTTTCTGTGTCATGTTTCAATCTGCGACGCAAAATCTATTGCAAAAAATGGACAACGACAACCGATGATATGAATGTTTTTTTCAGCGGCCATTTTTCATGTTTCTGGCGATGACAATTTTGACAACCTTTTCAGATCGATTCGATTATGCTTCATCTTTCAGTCGATTTTTGCTAATTAAATATGAAATTAGTATATAAAAAATCGGTAATTAATCAGAAAAATTATGTTTATCTTGGTTTCAATTGTCTTTTGCCATCATATAGCACTTGAACAAAAAGAGAAGCTCAAAATCATAGCCATTTTCCTTATCACTATCTTATGATTAAAGATGTCATGCATGCCATAGAAAAATGTACCTTGTATCCCAAAATAGCACACCATCACAGTGCTGTTCAATCACTTCCAGCCTCTTCCTTTTCTCTTCGTCCTCTTTCAATTGGTTGATGAGCGTCGATACGAATTTACCGAAACACTGCAAAAACCACTGGGCTTGAAGCAAAGTGAACTTGTCGGCACCGTCATCAACTAGCCAGACCAAATGTACCTTTCTGTTTTTCGAAGTACTTCTATGCGGCCAGTTTTAGTCCATCGGACACGTCGGCTGTGTTTCAAAGCTCGTTCAAGGACAAATTGTTTAAAATTTCAAATAGGACTCTTCGGATATTGTATTGTGAAAATTAAGGCAAATTATCAACAACCGATGATATTATTTTCTTTTTCCAGCGTCAATTTTATTTCAGGTCTCTTGTGACGACAATTTTAACAACATATTTTGATACTTTCTTTCTATATGAACACTTTTTGTAAATTTATATTTGTTATGATTCAATTCAGCTGATTTTTGCATTTTTACTAATAAAATATACAAATTGTATACAAAAAAGCTAATTTCTAGTGGAAATTTTGTTATCTTCTATCGATATTTGGCACCTAAGCAAATTGCTTAAGAGCTCAAAATCACAGGTAATTTATGTATGAACTATGAAGAGAAAAAAATGTGATGAAACAAATTATTTTGAATCCCAGAACAGCACGCCAGCGCAGTGTTGTTCAATAAATTCCAGCAGCTTCCCTTTCTGATCAGCCTCTTCCAATTGATTGCTGTTTACGATGAGCGTCGATATGAATTGGCCAAAACATTGCAACAAGCGCTGGGCTTGAAGCAAAGTGAACTTGTCGGCGCCATCATCAATCAGCCAGGCCAAATTTACCTTTGTGTATTGTACTTCAAAGAACTTCTGAGCGGCCAGTTTCATTTCATCGTATGCGATTGCTGTATTGCAGAGCTCGTTCAACGTCAAATTGTTGAAAATCTGGAACATGGATTCTTCGTTTAAAGTCATGTCTTGTACCGGCTTCGATGCATCGTATAAAGATGGATTTGTTTTTATATTCGTTTGTACCGGTCGCTCTGGTGTCATCCACTTTCGTCCATGGTCAGCAACTTGCTTTGGTTTCACCGCGAAGATTGGAACTGGATGATATTTTGGTTTTACTGGGACGACTGAAACTGGTTCAACCTTCACACTTTCTCCATCGTTGTTGTTTGGGTCCATTTGCAGTGCGATCTTGTGTTTGATTTCATCGGCTGATTTGGTTGATTTGGTTGCTGTGGCGCGATGGATGGTTCTTCGCATTAGTCCAAACCGATTTCTATTCATGACCAGATCGAACATACCTGCATTTGGCCGCAATCTCATTTGCCTAGTCGGTGGAACATCAGCCATGGCTGATTGTACTGGATTTGACGAGAAAAATGGAAATTGGTATTAGCTCAAGAGCAAAATATTGAATGTTTATCAAAAATATTACCTTGGAATTTATCGATCGAAAATGTCTCTCTTTATTGTTCCGAGTTCCACTACACGAATGTGATGTTGAAAGTGGCGTTAAAAATGGTCGCTCAGAAGTCCTAAGTCGATTGAAGGAAAAAAACATGAAGCATTATTTTCGATGTACGTTCTTTCTTTCGTTCCGTTATCTGAATTTTCATTGCTTTGAATTGATTTACCTGTCTTTACTGATCGACAACTGTTTTGTTTGTTGAAATCTTTCCTCAAACGCTCACAATGTTTCTCAAGTGTGTCCGCTTCTTATGTCCCCCTTCCTAAGTTGGAAATGAATCAAATATGCAATATTACTCGGATGGGTCACATATTTACAAAAATTCTTCTATTTCAATTCAATTGGGATTAAATAGAATATTTTTCTGATATAATCAAATTAACTGTGATACTTTTTCGTGTAAAATTACTACGAGATTCTCTTTTTGCGTATTGGCAATCAAACGGTTTGGTGTGTTGTGAAGAAAGTCAATGACGAAAGTGGCGTCGCTTCGGATTACTGTACTTCTGTTTCATTCACCTGATATGAAAGTGTGTGCGGCGAACATCACCTCACGTATTCGATAGTTTGAAATTGACACCGTTGCCGCCAAACGGATTGGTTTGAAAATAGCAACATTTGGTGTTTCGACACAGCGCCATTTCTTTCACTTCTGTACTACCACCGTATTATGAGCAGAATTAACAAAAAACCGATCAAAATCGTTCACCATCAATAACCACTGAAAAAATGCGCATTTCAACGTTTGACAATATTTTCAAAGTAATTTACGCAATGGAGCTGGTATTGCAGTGGAACGAACGGTTTTGACAATTCACTTTGTTTATAGTGTTTTTCTCTCTCTCTTTATTTTGACACATGACACATACGTCAAGTCAATTGACAAGTTAGCACAATCCGGTGTCTGTGAATGTTGATCGAATAAAATGTGTTTATTTAGAATGTAAAACGAAGTAAACAATTTTGTTTCATTTTGCGAGGAAAGAATATTTTTCTTCTTTATTAAAACCATGAGTCGAATACTGAGTGGTATTTTTCCGGACATTCCGCCGGAATTAAGGTTAGAAACATTTCTATTTTGATGGGTAAAACCATTACGATGTAATAAGCATTAATTTTCCTCCAGTTCAAGACTGTTTCGCGATGACCACAATTTGGTGGTCATTGGAGTGATTGGCAAGTCAGTCGACCCGGAATGTAACAAAATGGCTGGATTTGATATGGTCAAGCTGACGCCAGAACCAAATGCCATCGTACAAAATGGACAAATTCGTTTTTACTTCAATGAAGCAGAGGGCAAGAGTCTTTTCATCCATTTTCAAACTACGTTCGACGAGATGGTCATGGAACAATTCCTGATAGAACGAATGACAAAAGCAGCAATGGACCAGAAAGAAGAACAACCAACCGAGGAAAAACGAGGAAGCAAACGACGTAGCAGTGCTATTCACTCTTTGCATACTCTTGTTCGAGCCAAATTCTCACAGATGCTCTTGTTTGCCATTCAAATTTGTCATATTATTGTATTGGTGGAGCCGAACAACGTGTTTGACACGTCATATTTAAGCATCTTCAAGGCGCTAAAGGTGATTAGGTAAGGAAAACTATAGGTTGCGCTTTGAAACAATTGATAAAACGGAATTTTGGATATCGAAAAGCGATAAAATCAAATTTGTCATTTTAAACATGTGTTGAACCATTCATTTCACTGGTTTGATTTGATTTGATTGTTACAGGGAGCAACATGTCTTGAAATTTCTTCCGAAATTTCTGAAAAACTCCAGTTCTGGCTCACAAATCGGCAAAGAAGGACGATTATGCTCGCCTCGATTCATCTTCTACTTCGAGAAAACGCTTCATGAATACACCAACGTGGACAATCTTCAGCGATATGAGTTTGAGATTGAAGACTGTATCTATAAAATGCTGAGAAATGAATTTGTGATTACGAATAATAGGTAATTGACAGGCTTGAAGCAATCAATTGAATAGCAAGGTTCAAAATACCCAATTTTAAGAAAAGTAGCAATGAGCCAAAAAACTACTTCTGCTCTTGATCAACTGGAAATAATAAAAAAATACCTCTGCTGTTTCAGTTTGAATTCGTTATTTTCGATTCCACGGAATAAGCGCTTTGTGTGCATGAATACAAATCCGAATTTGCGCACCGATCCAATTACGCAATCTGTCAACGAGTTGGCGACGTGTATAAACAAAGAAAGACACGGTTTGCATAGCGATGGAGAAGACAATGACAGTGACGATGAAATCAGGCCGTTTAAAGGATTTGCAAAGCCGTTGAGCAAGTATAAAACAGTGAACAACACGAATGTTTGGTCCGAAAAGACAAATCGCCTGCTTCAATTAATCAAAGAGCATGTGGATGAGGCATTACAAACTGGATTCGATGATAGCATCGCCAAGTATAAGGGCAAAAGTCATTTTGTGGTAAGAAGAAAATGCTAGGGAAAATGTTCATACTTGACAAAGTGGATCCAATTTGCTTGATAATCATTTTTTGATATTGGATCATTTTCATAATTTCTGGCTGTTTCAGATTCCTTCCGGTAAATCATGGTATGAGATGTTCAAGTTGCTGCATAAAATCTTCGTTGAAAATCCAGACAATCCCAGTTTTGAGCCAAATGACTCGGATTATGTATGTTACAAACACTTACATCATCCATTCACTCGCAAATTTTGACCTTCAATCCATTTTTATTCCACAGAAATCCTATTTGGAGAACTTCCCGCGGATCATCGATATCGATGACAGGTAAAATGATTCTAAACTTGTGCAATTCAGAGCAATAAGCATTTTTCTTCTTCAGATTTTATTCAGAATGCTGTGAATATGGACTTGAACGTGGCAAAGAGCACTACAAAGAGATGCTTCCATCATTTTATAGCAAGAACTATCACGAGCAAAAGATTTTGCAGAGCATTGCTATGCTGAAGAAATACGGAAGAGGGCCACATTTGATTGTATGCGAAAAGAAACTGACTGAAATATGTGATGACGTTTGGTTGAATGGTCGTCAACAGTGCGAGGTGTTGAGTTTACGTGGCAATCCGTGTGCAATGCCAAAGCATGAAATTCTATCAGGCGATGGTGGCCACAATAGTGCCGAAACCATCATATCGACTTGCAATTGTGGGCGAACGCAAGGTAGACGAAATGATCCGTACACGTTGCGCCAGGCTAATTACGAATTTTATCAAATCATGATGGGCAGCTGTACGATGTGTCCGAAATTGGAAAGCATTCCATTTGCCGTTTTTGAACCATCGATCAATGATTATCGGTTGGTGGCAACTCTCAAAAACTCTTTATTTCAATCTTTTCAAATTCTTTTTTAATCTCAACTCTGTTTGTTTCATTTCGTAGTGCTGCCGAACTAGAAAAGACGGTCGTGGACAAAGAGGATATAGCCGAAGAAGACGATGATGATTATCAAGTGCTGAGTATGCCATCTCAACTGGCGAATCCGTTGAGCATTGGTTCGGGATTAACTTTTTCTGATGACGAAAACAATGAATCTAACGATCCAGCTAGTGATGCCAAATCAAATGAGAATAATTCATCGGATCATGAGATCATTGCCGAGGCAAGTGACGAAAACTCAATCAATGAAATCGTCATCAAAGTTGGCGTCGAAGAGAATGAAGAATGCCTGGCAAAAGGAATCTATCGGCAACCATCAACGACTGAATATCTATCGGGCATGGTGCATACACTGAGCCCAGCTGGATTATTGCCACAGTTTTCAAGCTGGTCTCTGGTTTGCGTTGGTCATAGCTCGGTTTACTCGCACAATTCAGGAATTCCCGAGCACGCTCAAAGCGGTTTTTTGTCTGGTGCCAACTTTTTATTACCATGGGACGTTCAAGTTCGTTTGGAAAATGCAGCGTCATGGGCTCGAACGTTGGATAAAGCACGACATCGCCGCAAACCTCAGCCCGTTTCGAAAGATGACTCCGATGGTCAAGTGTTTATGTTGAAAATTTTCGTTGGCTGCGAATATGAATGCCCGCGTGGTCATCGATTTTTCATGAGCAGCCCAAACACTATTCTGAGAGGTGGATCAGGTAACTTACCCTCTGACTCACTACATTTTCATTGAGTCTATTAAATCGCCCTGTCTTCTTGTAATTTATCGAATTTTCCTTCACGTATAAACTTTCATTTTTCGCAGGAATCGTCAAAGACGGAGGCAGTAAAATCGTCTTCAACGACATGCCATTGTATTTCCCATGTCCGTGCCGCAACGCAAAACCAAGTGTAGCTCAATTAATGCGAGTACATATTGTTACACCGAAAGCCCCAGTCAATATCATATTGGAGCCAAAAGTAAGAGTAATTGAAACAAAATTAACTTGACACTTCTTCAACTTATTCCATTCTTGCATTCTTTTTCATTTGTCTTCTTCTTCACTTTGATCCACAGATTCGTACAGGCGACAAGAATTGCTACACATTCACAACTGGACTGGCGGAGCCACCAAAATTAACCCAAAGTGCCTACTGGGTGCTACGCTTACCGTATGTTTATGAAGGCAATGACGAACCGATTATGCCGCCACTCGCAGATATAACACCTTCGAATTGCATGAATTGGGGCTATCTAATGGCCGGAATGTATGGAATTGTTGAAACAAAAACTAAGTAAATGTATTTTTTCTACGGGAAAAGAAGACACAGACAAATAATGAACTAAATTGAGTTTTAAAGTGAATTTATTTCATTAGAACACTAAAATGAATATGTGAAATTGTACGAATTTCTGGGATCAATTAATTAAATAAATAAATAACTTAAAATCAACAACAAATCATTGAGAGTTTTTTTTAAATATGCGATTACATCTACAAAACAGAAGCGTCTATTGATCTTTTCTAAATGAGTGTTAAATTGGAATCAAGTGCCTCTTAAAAATGAACACATAAATAAAATAGGTAAGGTATAAAAAATGTCAACCGAATCATTTTTGTTTCTCGATAAAATCACATCTAAATTCTAAATGAAAAAAATCTACGGGATTGCGTTGTTGAACGGCTAGTGTTTAATACTATGAGATAATTTAAATTCTGAATAAAAGCGCTTTGCATATTAGATTCTATGTTGTTGTTTTTTTTTCAATTTGGTGTTCAATTAGCTGTCTAATTTTAAATCACAATCAATCGATAGATGGGGATTTTTGTGTATGTGTGTGGGAAAATTAAAATGCTATTTTTTTTGTTCAATACTGATCTCGCTAGAAATTAAAATAAAATTAAACCGATTTCTGTTTGAACGTTTCTTCTTTTCCATCTAAATATCTAATTGATTAAATTTTAATCACGAAATTGAATGGGATTTTCTAAAAAAATTAAACAAAATCAATTTGAATTAAACGCGTCTCCTGATTTCGTGTATGAAATTCATTGTATCAATTGTTTGTTGCATTTAGAAAATCATTATAAAATTTGTGTTCTCGCCGAGAGAACTTCTCGGTTTTCTTAGAAATAAAAACGATATTCTGAGAAAGAATAAGCCACGGTTAGCGCGCTATAAAAAATGTTCTTTGTTTGGTTTGTTTTCCCTTATATCTTTTGTCAAGCAAAAGGACTCTTTTTTTGAACATAATTCCAACCATTTAGTTGGTTTAGCTCATATTCCATAAATATCGTGCGAGGCAATAACAGTTAATTTTGTGTTTTTTTTCAATTTTACATATGTTTTGGCTTATTTCACATTTGAAGCTAACACACAAAAGATTTTGACGTTTTTTTTTGTCTCGGATTTTTTTCATTTACTTCGTTTGAATTTTTGTCGAAAGCATTTATCGCTTAAAATGTGTGTGTTGATTTTTTGTTTGTCTCATAAATCAATATGCCTAATTAATTGGTTACCGGAGGGATGTATAAATTCATTTATAGCAATAGTTAATTTCAGATAAAATAATTTTTCGTTCAAAATCAATGTACCACTGGTCAAGTATTAATACGTTCGCGATTTTGAGTTATGGTTACGGATTTGTTGCTTAAATTTGTTTTCCATGCATATTCAATGTTCAATATAATAGTTTTAACAATCATAGTTTTTTTTCCAAACGGCATAGTTCGTTTTCTATTTCTTTGTTTGTACATGAGTAAGTGGTTTTTATGGAGTTAGTGTTTGCTTCTTTTTTTTGTCCAAACAGAAATCACGAAATATTTCCATTGAAGTAGTTCAGTTAAATTCGCTTTACGATTTAAAAATTGAGACGATTTAATTTTTCTTCGATTGATTTCCATCGCCATCACTTTTGGCCGATATTTCGGGCGTTTCATCTTTGTTATCGGTACTCGTTGACTCAGCAGTGTCTAATTTTCTCTCGCTGTCAGTGGTTTCGTCACCTTCGCGTTCAGATATTTTACGAATCGAAGCACTGGACCCATTCGAGTCGGTCAGCGACAATGTGGATGGACGCGGTAATTTACTTGCGAATGGAAACGGCAAGTTTTCTACCTGCGGCGTATGAACAGCTACGATTTCTGTTTGGGTGCTCGAACTGTCTTTTACCTCTGGCTTTTTCTCTTCCAAACTGAGACCAGCAGCTTCGCCTTGATTCGGTAGCTTGTAAAGCACACTCATGCACTGGATTATGTCTCGCATTGATCCTTGCAGTTGTTGAACCTAGGATGATGTGAGAAAGTTGTTTAGTTCTCCAATAGTATCCAAGTGTTTATTGAGAAAAAAAATACGTCTCTCATTGAAATATTTCATCTCTTATTCAATTCTATACCTGGTTTGTTAGAACCGAACATGTTTTAGCTAAATCCTGCACCACAGCTGTTGAATTGGGCTCCAAACTTGCGCTCGAAGCGGCTGTTTCAATTGCACTTGCATTTACAGCTGGTGGCTGCAGCGTTGACACTTTCTTCCACAGAGCGTTTATCGCCTGCATTTGAAGCTGCTGAATTTTTCGTTCATTTTCTAGGGCAACTTTGGTTGTTTCCATGTCATGCGATAGTTTTCTACAAAATTCAGACAAAGTAAATATAAAAAAATGCTTCGAATTTTTCAAGATTTAAAACGAAACCAAAATCTTACTCGATGTGTTGCTGAGTTCGATTCTTCTGCAAATTCTTTGCAATGTGTTTGTTGATTTTGCGTGTATTGTAACCGCGCCATATCTTTTGAATCACAATTGCCGACTCTTCGGTTGAATTTTGATTAATAAGCTTGGGTTTCGATGAACTTGCATCAGTGTTATCTTTTGATTGGCTATGTTCCTGAGATCTGAATGGACAAAATATCGCATTAGAATTACATAGAAACAATGTATCATGTTTAATTTAAAAAAATGTCCCAATCCAACGTAGTTTCCCTTTTTCGTTAATTTTGTTATTAATTAGCCAATTAGTCGTTACCTTTGTGCTGCTTTGTTTCGTATAGTCTTGAGTTTATCGGCGCTAAAGTGGTCGCTATCATCGTCCGAGCTTACGTTACTCATATTGTCAGGAGTATAGCTGACCGATTGTTTGACTGGGGCAAGCAGCGGTGGTGGAGATTGTGTTTTGTGTGCCAATGTTTTCTTCACACTTGGCGAATCACTGTGCGAATGGTTAGTCGTTTGATGTGCCTTTAGTGCCGTATTAATCGAATTATTTTTGCGTACATTCAAAACGGGAGATTTCTCCTGCTTTTTAGTCAATGATGTGCGACTTTTTGGTGACATTAATTTCGATTCTGCATGAATTTGGTTAATGAGGATTTGTTAATAAAATAGTGAGAAAAGAGAGAAAACATCATGAGAAGAAAAATGAGTAATGTGTATGAAACGAACCTTTGGTTGATTTAATCGACGATACTTTTTGGTTTGGCAAGGATGGTTCGGTCTTGGGCGTTGAATGGATCACACTTTGATGTACAACATTTAGTGGCGGGCAATCAGGGCTCATTAATGTTTCCGGCACTGGAACTATTTTCGATGTAGCCACCAATGGGCACTGACGTGTTTGATAGTCTGCAAGGGATGATTGAATTAGATGTGAATTTGAACGACATATTTACATTCATAGGGCATGATGACCATGACAATAATTTGACTTGAATATTAAATACAGATGTAAAACTATACGAACCATTTAGTGGAGGGACTACTGAACGAACGCTAGTCGATTCTGATGTTAGTTTCGATGAGGGTGAACTCAGAATTGTTGGATCTAAACTTTGAACCATTATATTCCCTTTCTCAGCGTTCACATTTTCAATCAACGATGACGACATTTGAATCAGATTATTCGCATCGTTGTTCAACGATGACGACGTATTTCCATGGTAGCTGCTCGACATTGAATCTGGCGAGCCCGAATTGGCTCTTCCCAACCGTGAAACTGAAAGCAAAAACCGTTGAATACATGAAGTAAAAAAGCGATTTGGGTTTCGAATAGATATTTAGATGGTTTGTCTTACCTCTTGGTGATTGTATTCGATTCGATGTTCCACGTCGCCGATTCGTTGATGGTGAATTATTGGCTGATGAATGCGAATTATCTGTTTTAATAGAATTGTAATATTTATTATAAATAAACGTCACATTCCGCAAAACGATTTCTAATGAAAATCAATTTCGTTTTCATAAGAGAGTAAAGAAGTATCACTTACCAGAGATTTCTTCTTTAAGCTGTCGTTGATGTTGTTGTGCTTTGCTTAAAATGAGTCGAAGTTTGCGATCCTCTTCGTTTTCAAGAGCTTCGCCAGTGAGTGGACACACTGAGCTCAAGTATTTGGCTAGCTCAATTTGTTCACCAATACGAAATTGTCGGCCACGACCTTGGCTGTATAGCCATTCGGCTTTTAGGCTTTCGATTGGATTCACTGCAAAACCATCGATTACTTTGACAGTCATGCACCAGTTTAGCACAAATGGTCGATAATCGAATCCGGTACTCTTGTATATGAAACTATGGATGACGAAGCGGAAAAAGATACGAAACCACAAAACAATTCGAATTAGAGTGAGCGCAATCAGAAGAGAAAAATCAAAACTAAAATGGCAAAGTTCGTACGAACAACATGAACACATTATAAATGCGAACAAAACCAATTTATGCTGTGTATGTGGTTTTTTCTTCACATACACACACACACACACACACACACACATCGTCAACTGGATAAATGTGTCAAGTCGGTCAGCAGTTACTGCGATTGTGTGTAATTTCAGTTTGTTCGTGTCTACTTACACTGAATTCGTCATTTGAACACATGGATTCTCTTGAATTGAAATGCTATTGAGTGCCGTTAATCCACTTAGCGTACAAATTTCGTTCAAGTCAGCGATATTATTATGGTCCAATGTAAGTGTTTCTATCGATACGGGTAGATAGCGATCGCATTGGCGCAAATGAGTTAGTCGATTCCCATGCAAGTATAGCTCCTGCGAAATATAGCAAATAGAAAAAAAAAACACAATACAACGATGAACGATTTTTTTTCTTTTCCAATGTGGAAAACATGAATATGTCACGCTCATAAGCTAATGCTTATTTCATGTCCATTGCACTGCAATTATTGGCCTGTGTGTTTGTGATTGCATGAGTGCGTTCAATTTTCTTAAATGATGGGTGTAGCATTCGCCGAAGTTCATAGTCATAGTCACAAGCACTTGAAATATTAATGAATTTTCCATCGTCGAAAAAAGTAGAAATTTTTCTAGTGTTTCGTCATGGCAAAAATGTGTATGTACCTTTAGGTTTTTCAACACCGATATGTCGGATATACTGCCAATGCTATTCTCGGCCAAATTTAGATACTCTAATTGCACATTTGTATTTAAGTGTTCGATGCTTTTGATAGTATTGCCCTGTAAATTCAAATGACGCAAATGCACCAATTCCTTTAATCCTTCGATCGTGACAACGGCATTGTTCGATAAATTAATCTCTTGGAGCATATGCAGTCGACTCAAGCCAAACATTCGCAGTAAATTGTTTTTGCATAATGAAATCTAAATTGAAAATTAGAAAATTGTCATTAATAAAAAGCGTCGAGTATGAATTGAAAATGACCTTGTTCACCTTCTCAATCTTTAAAAAAGTGTCCACATTATCGATTTTCTGCAACAAATTCTCATCCAGAATGAGCTCTTTGACATGCTGTGTATCTTCGGGTTTAGGCACTTTTTTCAAACCCGTTTTCGATAAATCCAATACGGTTGATGTCTTTTGGTCTTCAACCAATTTATCCACCGACGGCTCCGTCGGAGTATTTAATTCCAACATGTAACTGTGTTCTAAACAAAACGTAAACAATTCAGATTGTAACACCAATTCACACTAGCAATGACACAATTTCTCGGTTTATGAAGACCAATTCCCTTTTTTTTGCTCGCATCAAAAAAGATGATATATTTATGTAATATTTACCCATTGTCAAGATGTGCACTCCGCCTTAAATGCTAATGCTACACAATATCGTTAGATTCGTATTCTATGTGCGATTTAATAGAATATGTGATGAAATGTTATATATATCCACCTATCACACTATATTTCTTACACAAACACTGTTCATTAGCTCTATTCTAGTGTTTGCGAACAATTGTAAACACCTTGCTTGTTTGACGTATCTTCCGAACAGGTTGCGACGAAAAATTTTGTTTTTATGTTTATTTCTACTTGTTTTTTTTTCTTATTTAATAAATTTATTTATGAAAACACCACTTTGGTCTAGCTATTGTACTTTAAACGATTCATATTAATGAGAAAATAGTAAAAAAAAACAATTCGTTTTGCACGCACGGTCAAATTTTTGGTTGCTAGTACACACACATTGCATGTTTTGTAGTGAAAAATTGATTTTTTCGGTTTATGAGTGCGATTTTTCCAATTTGCTGTCGTTCGCATAGTGTTCTCTTCTTTTTGACATTTTGCACAAATACGGTGGTCGGGGAAATGCGATGCATATTCAAGCTAGTGGCATCAACATATTGAAAAAAAAAACGTTCATTTCGCCCGTTGTTCGTTTTGAATATACCAAACGTTTTTTTAAACGTCGTTTTATGAACGGTATTGCAATTCGTGCTTGTTTTGGTCAATGGATTTCATAATGAAGATACGAGCTGAAATAAAAACATGAAAATAAAATAAATTGCTTCAATTTTGTCTGTGAACATTTTTGGTTTTTGTGACTATTTTTAAAGCCTAACAACATTGTGAGCCCATGTTTTTAGCTGCTAGTACTTCAAAAGCATAAACGTTCAACTGACAACTTGTTGTTCTATTACAACGTTCATTTGGGTTCGCGCTCTTTTCTTTCGGCTGACAGATCGAATAAACAGACAATAAACAATTGCATGTCCTCAAGCTTGAGCTAAGAGCGTGAATCTGTTAACGTAAAATTCACTAGATTTTAATCACATTCCCAGTGTTTCTTGTTTGAACAAGTAAAAAAAGATGATTTCGTTCACCCCACGTACATTGGTAACCGGTTCGATGCTGCGTAATTTCATCGACAAGCACGTCAGCATTCATGTGAATGTTGAAACGGAGGTCGATCGTGGAGCATCGGTCATCAAAGCCAAGTCGTCCGATGATCAGGATGTCACCATCGAACTTTCGGAGCCATTAAATTCGCCGGTCAAAGGATGGATCGAAGTCATTGGTATTCCAACCAGCGCAAACACCATTCGCAACAAAGAGGTAACTGCCAGACTCGATAGCACATCATTGCGAAATTATCTGCAAACAACCAATGTTTTTTTTTTTCTCGTTCTTTTTTTTGCAGATCATCATTTTCCCCGACGAACCAACCAATGAGCCATACAACAAAAGTGCACACGTTCAAGTGGTCACCTTCTTCAACAACTGCAAAGATATCTACAAAATCGAATAAGATCATGGAAAATCAACAACAACAACAAAAACAACAACAAAAATCCAGTTCCCATAATATGGTTGTCATTCAATTGTATCAATAAAGTTACACAGTTTGTTATAGGATTTACAAATCACGACTTTGTTTTATTGGTCAAACACAACAAATAAAGCTTAATTGGCATGGTTCGAACGCTGAGCGGTAGCATTCAACTTGAATGTTTGCTAAAAAGAATGTATTTATATTCAGATGCTCTGAATTTCTATTAAATTCAGCCACTTGAACACTGTTGCTTAACAGTTAGTTTTTTTTTAGTTTTTTTCTTGGTTATATTTCCAATCAACATTCGACCGTAGTACCGTAGTACCATATTTTTTCATATACAAAATTAACAATTGAAAAACAGAGAATATTTATCATTAGCCTAGAGAAGTTTTTCCAATTTTTTTGTCCATCCTTCGGATAGTTTCATATGCAACGGATGAATTTGTGCATCGGATATGACACCCAGTTGAATATGTTCGCCGAATTGTTGGATAGAAAGTGAGATACCTTGAATAGGGAAAACACATGATTTATTTTCAGCCAGTAATAAAATTTTAGTGAAATCTCTTACTTCCATTGCTTTGTAATGGGCTGAAGAACAGCACATCTAGCATATTGTGACCCCAGCATGTGATTTTTGCTTTTTGTTGCAGAAAATTCCGGTTCATCACAATTTCGGTGACGGTAATTGAAAATCGTCTCGACAAATAATTGAATATGATGACCGTCCACACAGCGGGCAAAATTTTCGTCAAAACATTGAATCGCTTGTGCAATTGGAACAAAAAGTAGATACCCACTTGATTTTCTCGCGCTATTTTAAAGTTTTGACGGATTTGTTTGAGCTGTTTACGTGAAACCTTTTCCATCGGCAAAATCAAACTCAAATGCCCGGATTCATAGTCGTCGTTATTCAAGTGACCATGCAAATAGTCGTGATTGTGTAGTGTTGCAAAGACTCGAATTTGCTTTGGCACCGGCACCGTTTCGAATTCATGCAGCAATTCCATTAGTATCGAACTATTGGCCGACATGTAGAGCTCAGTTGGGCTGACGCCATGCTTAGCGCACGCACGTCGTACATCATTTACACTGATTTTCTTTGACCAAGACAAAACTTTTCTGCCACACAGGGAGATGTTTTGCAAAACATGTTCATCACTGCGATGGATCTGAATTAGCTCTTCGTATATGAATCGTGGCGCTTCCACGAAAATGCCCACCAATCGAAGCCACTCTTTGAACGCATTGTAGCATAAGGGGATGTAGGCGAACATGAATCCAATCAGTGTGTCTGGATAGCCAGCATGACCTCTGAAGAAGCAGTATCGAAACGCTTGCAACTCTCGGTAGATCAGGTGAGGTGAAAGTATGCTGATCGTCACTCCAGCCCAGCAAATCCATTCGAAGCATGTCTGTTTGAGTGAATTTCATGTGAAAAATTTGCATAAACAATCTGTTCCCTTTTCAACAAATAACAAGTTTACTTGAGTATACTCCATATCCATACCTTTGTTATCCTAATCGGATTCAACGTCGTCCACATCGCATGCCAAATGACTTCCCATGAAATATTCCGCTTTTTCACTTCACGATTGATCAAACTGTTCAAGAATTTCATTTTGATCATCGGATGATGTCTCGTTGCATAGAATCCCTTGTAAAAGTCACTGGCAATGGTCACATACGAAATAAACAGCGATGCATACAATTGTGGCAATGTTTCGATTGGCAACGTTTCAACATGCCCCAATTTTGGATCGTTAAGTTCTGGAAACTCAGCAGATGTAGTTGGTGGTGTTGATGTCGCAACGCCTCTTGGATTCGATGATTTTCCAACATAAGGATCATATTTGCTCTTGAATTCATTATAAGCATTCGTTAGCCCAATTTGTAGACGCATATACAGTTGTGGAATGTAAACGGGATACTGAATAATGTCCAACAGTGGTGATTTTGGTATCTGTTGATCGGTTTCAAGGTCACCACGTCCATTGAAAACGGAAGCACTTGCTGTTGTTGCATCAATCGCAATGAGGTCACATAAGCGTAAATTTGGCTCCTCTGATATCAATAAATGATGCATTCGCACCACAACGTAGTAATGCTCAATATGAGTTAAACGCTTATAACGAATCGAATTGAATATCACACGATGCGAGGTAGAACAAAAGGAGAAAAAACAAGAGAGAAAACAGAATGAATTACGTTATTAATTCGGTCTATTTACTGAAGGAGTCGAGTTCAGTGAAAAGAAACAAAACGTATATGTCTGATTAGTAATAATCAATCGGCAATTGAATGCATGCGACGTGTGTGATAGTTAGCAGTGCACACGGTGTGGTGTGAATGTGTCAAAAGAGCATTTTAACCTGATAAAAAGTGTCGCCGTGATAAAGATATCTTACCGTTGCCGAATCACTTGGTGACTGTTGCTCTTCCTCCGTATCATTGCCGCTGGCCGATGTACTCGGAACAGATGCTATATCTTCGTTGCGCGTTATAGATGTCGGTCCAAGGACTGGAATCACACAGATTTGCCATGGTGGCAGGCCGACAGGCAAATATTTCGATACAATGCTACTTATGTAGTCCTGAACATTTGTACTGGTTACGGGACGTCCGCGATAATTCGACTTACAAACATTGATATGATTATTAACCACAAATGCCCTGGAAATGATGAATAAATCATGAGAAGTGTGAATCTCGAGACTAATTTTAATGACAGTTGTCAATTTTAAAATGGAATTGACCGTATTTAGTTAGAAAAATTGGAATCGGAAGAAATCAATTACTCTGGACACATTTTCCACGCGTAAAATCCCCAGCACGTCACCAGTTTGGCCGATAATTTTGGAAAGATGAACTCTCCCGATTTCATATTTTTTTGAAACACCGCCCGATAAATGCCATCACGAATTGCTTCGACATTTGGTTCGCCTTGCAAGTGTAAAATGATATTTACAATGCCCGGATTACGAGCCGTATAGCTGAACGTACGTAGATTATCCTTCTTGACAAAGGTCAAATGCTGTTTTTTTATTATGAGAAAATTTCGCCATAACAATCGCGATACAGACACAACTGAAAGACAGAAAATAAAAGATTTGCCGCAATTAATTAAAGAATATTTTTCTCCACCCCGCCTGTGATTCGTAATCTAGTGACTAATGATCTAAAGTTCAAGTGAACACACACGAAACAAAAATAAAATCGAAACAGTTATCAATCGAAACACTTACCAAAATAGCACAAAAGTAAAGGTTGAATGCAGATTAGAAAGACAACAAAGCATAGGAAAGTTTTGCCAGCCGAATAAATACGCCGTTCCACCGAACTGAAATGAAATATTTGTATGTGAATCGTAGTTATTCAAGCGAAAATCCTTATTGAAATTATACACAGGAAATTTCAACACTCACTCTTCCATTTTTTTCATCCTACAATTCTCTTTCTTTCTAGCTATCTCGTCAGGACAATTGTAACAACAATGAAATGTATTTAGTCAGCATTTGCGTGTTCAATTCACGCATTTATGATGTGGAAAACAAAAAACCCGATTGTTTTGTCGCAGAGCGGCTGTTTCGATTCGATGCTGAAATGATGTTATTGTGGACGCGAGCTACGGACAACTGATCTGAACGCTTTGTTGTCGATACTTGATAAGGTCGATCGAAACCGAATTGCACCACGCTTACATGTATCTCTACGGCTCGTTCGCACAATAACACACAACAATTCCGTTTTTAGAATACGTTTTTTCTACTTCGATTTGTATTTCTTTTTGCTCAATTTCATAAATTAAAATTGTTTTTGGTGTCTTCCTCCCTGATATTCGTATCACTCTGATAACAAGACGCGCTTGCATGCATTCAACGCTCTTTTTTTTTGTTATTACGAGAAAATTGAATTGTATTCGACGTTATCACAACCAATTCTTTTTTTTTGTTCTTTCTTTGAATTTACGACCGCACAATATTTAGATGATTACTATAAATCGTGTTATACCTTCAAATTGTGATTGATTTTCGACTGTACGGTGAACTTTGTTTCGCACACCAAATGCGATTTCGTATCAATTGAGATTGTAGACCACGTGAATTTCGGCTTCGATGAAACACTGACAATTGTGCGGCATTTGAAAAAGCGTTTGTTTGTGTGCGATTGTGCCGTTATTTCAAGAAACACACTCAGAGTCAGTGTGAGTGTGTGTGCAACACTGTTCGAGTGAAATTGCGATGATGATTTGAACTGTAGAGATGATGTTTATTTTCAACATGCACTAATGAATCACAGCGTTAGATTGCAAAAACAAACCACTGTTTTTGCTGTGTCACAATACGTGTCACATAGGCCACTCTCTTTGTTCAGTGATAGTAGGAATAGGATGCAGACCAACGGCTCTTATTTACTAAATACCAACCGTTTTTTTTTCTCTCACGCTTTCCGCTGTCTCAATATGTACCCAACCAATGAATGCAAATAAAACTCCTTTGATTCCCATTATCTTCAATACAGATTAGTATTTTTTTAAATTTATTTTAATGAATTTCTTAGGAATCTCACATTTTTTAGCTTATCAAAAATAAGTAAATTTCAAAACAACACGTAATTGTGTCACCAATTGAACTCTCGTTTAAGGCGTTTTTTCGGAATTGGAATCGGCATCGTTGGCCTTGGAGCCGTTTCAACTGGTTCAATTTTGGCTTCGTCATCGATTTTGATTTGATCTTCGGGCTTGACTTCCACTTCAGTTCTGGCTGAAGCTGGTTCATCCTCGTCACCATCTGATTCGTCGTACTGCACATTTCCAGGCTTGATGAATGGCTGATTTCTGAACAGCATTCGATTTCGACCACCTCTGTTTGGTGCGTTTGTTGGCTTCTTCGGTGAGATTACCACTTCGTTTGCTTCGTTTTTGGCGAGATTCTTCGCTGATGGGCCGATAATGCTTCGGAAATCATCGACTGAACAGTCAAACGTTTGAGATTGCGATTTGAATTCATCAGCGTTGAACACCTTGGTAATGAATCTTCTACGCTCCAACGACCGTGCACCCTCCAACTTGTGTTGTCTGATTTCATCATCTTTACTTTTAACGATGTCGATCAGTTGGCTCAAATCGCAAATCTGATGCAGCAGTGACTTGGTGATTTGATCAAAGAACACTTGTGGCTCGCATTTTGTCAACAACCAATGGAATTTTCGTGCAGTTCCTTCGCCAAGTAAGAGTTTGAATTGAAGCTTGAATTCTTCATCGCCTGGCTTGATGTCTGTGTTCACTTGGGTCGCAGACCCAACAGTGTTCAATGCACCGAGCAATTGATCAGACATTTCATCACTGATGGTCAATGTGGGATTATCATCAGCCAATCGTTGCAACAGGTTTTCTTTACTGCTTACACACTCGCTCCACAATGTTTTGAAGTCACTTAGCCAAAATGTGAACGATTCTCCGGCTTCCGAACTGTTTCGATCGAATTTACCAACAAATAGGTCAGCGCCTATCTTCAACTTCGACCACCGATCCATTTTACTTTCCGCTATGCACTTAGTGACTATGAACACAGAATATTTTGCTGTGATGAAATTCCACTGTTTGCTGAATGTTTTGCGGTTATGTGAATATAAACATATCTACAGAAATGTCAAATGGAATGATGTCATGACACGGCGCGAATTTGAATTCAAATTGAATTGAAATAAAATGATTGGAAAATGTTATCTGTGTGGCTTTTTGAATTTTGAGCTACTTTAAAGATTAGGAATAGCCTTTTTATGAAGTCTCTTGATCCTTTTTTCTTCGATCACAATAGATTAAGTGCAGCATTGAGTACGAAAAGCTATATTCCAGTATTGGTAATTTTGTCCCAATTATAACAAGAGACACTCGCATAAACAAAGAGCATCATACTACACAGCTCATTACTTGAGGCTCGTAATTTTGTTCACACAATTCATGTTTATCAATTGAGTTCGGAAAAATTTCCCTTTGTGATTATTTCATGAGTAATATCGAACTTTTTTTTCCAAGTTAGCGCTAGCAACTTACAAGTCATTGTTCTCCGACACAAAACCAAGTGTGACCCGATGTCGAACAGTATATTTTGCGTCGTATTCCACTGCATATCCATCTACTACTGCACTCAAATCATATGTTTGGTTGTAAATAAAAAACTATTGCTCAAAAACAACACATCATTGTGTGTCAGTCTGAATTTCATCACACAGTGCAGGAGAGTTTCAAATACATCGCACATTCTAGAATACAGCGTCGATTGCACTGTAGATGTGCATATAAGCAAAAGAGAATCGAAGAGTAGGTTCATTTGTTGTTGAATCGTTCACGAAGAAACATCGTAGTTCGCCAAGCTCAAAGATTTTTATCAGACAAAAACATAGCAAGTGTTAAACGATAACGAAAAATAAAAACAAAAATTTTAGACCGAAAAAAGTGAAACAATTTTCAAGATGCGTATTTACAAGATTTGTGTCGTGAATAATTTGGCGGAGACAGCAGGTGAAATGTTTGCAGTTAAACCGTATTTGGAAACTTTCGATAGTTTCAAGGATGAGATTTTCATTCGAATGCCGGAGCTGAAGAGTCAAGCACTGAAAATTTACTACCAAGGTAAGTGTGCGGCCATATTGAATGTGCTTTTTGCGTCGTTTAAAAACGTTCCATAGACAATGAACTTTTTTGTGTCTGAGTCATTCATGTTTTAATTTCGTAATATGGTTGTAATATTGTGAAATAACCAGTTTTTTCGAGTTTTTCTATTTTTAGCCAATGAATTTATACTGAATTTTTATTGTTTTCTTTTATTCATTGATTTCACAGATGCTGATGGTGACCATGTTACCATCTTTAACGCATTGGACTTTGATATCTTCAAAGAGCAAGGGATCAACAAAGTGTTTGTTGTGAAGAGTGGTCCGGTAAAGACGGTTCAATTCCAAGAAAAACCGACTGTCGCATCGACTGCATCGACCTCTGCACCGAATCGTGCACATCATGCTAATGTCATTTGCGATAGTTGCGACAAGGAGATTTATGGCTATCGTTACAAGTGCTTGGAATGTCATGATTTTGATTTGTGCATGGAATGCGAGCCAAAATCGCATAATCATCATTTGATGATTCGCATCGCCGATCCACAAGATGCGGAAATTTGCTACAAATCCAAGTTGGGAAAACGGTTCTTGCGTCATCGCCGCAGCGAAAGCCTCTGCTCCAAACCGGAGGAAAAAATCGGAAAACATCATCACCACCATAAGCGACATGCATCAAGTGTATCTGTACGCCCACCGCATCCATTCGGTGACATTGTTTATGGCGTTTTACAATCACTTGCTGGCACCAATAATGCCAATCAGAATACGAAGGCAGCTACAAATACCGCAGCACCGAGCCAAGGTAGTAGCGATGAAAATCAATCGAAAAATGGCGCAGCACCACCAAAAGCAGCCCAGCCAATTATAACTCCAACAAGCGCTCCATCTTATGGTTTCACGATTGAAAATCCAAATTCCAACCCAAAACCACCTTGCGTACCATTGAAACAAAGCATTGACATGTTGTCTCATATGGCACACAATTTTGCAGCAATGATGGATCCATTTGCCGCTTATATGGATCAAAGCGCCAGCGCAAGTGCATCATCAGCTGCAACCGCAGCAGCCACTGCAGCAACAGCTGCTGCTGCTACCACCGCTTCAGCAGCCAGTGCTACTAATTCGACTAATACAGCCGCTTCTTCGGCCAACACTGAAAACGAATCGATGACCACTGATCAAGAAGCATCCACCGCTGATAAGGCGCCAAACAAAGTGATTGTTGATGCTATGGTCATCGATTGCAGCGATGATGAGGATGAAGATCTTCGCAATCTGGTTACATCACTTCACGTTGCTCCAAATCCAACGAAAGACAACGCACCAGAGGCTAACAAGAAGGATGAAAGCGTCACTTCGATTGATAACGACAAAGGTATGTGCTTGAACACTATAGCAATTGAAATTGTACACATTTTCTGTTAAATTAATGCAAAATAGAAGAAAGCTAATCATTTTATTGCTCTGAATTAGGTTCACCAACTCGTGAATGGACTTTCATCGAACGCAACGAAATTGCCGATTCGGCCGGTACATCGGTTTCCAGCACTGGAGCAATTCCAAAAAAATCAACTCCACCACAACAGACCGAAATTGCTGACAGTGGCAAGGTCGACTATGCTGAATTGTCACGTTTGTTGAACACTCACATCAATGCCCAGAAAGAAGAGGCACCGATCGTTCCACCACAAACTGAGGAAAAGGCAAAGGCCGACAGCATTGACAATGGCGCTAAATCGACCAAAACTCCACCACCAACTCCAATGCATCCAGGTTTGTTTTTCATTAGAAAAGTATTTTTTGTTCTATTTATTGTTTCATTGAAGAAAAAAATGACTTTGTATGGTTGGTTCTCGAAAAATTGCTCTTCTCAACTTAAATTTTGATGAAATTTTTCATTCTTTTCTCCAGACGCTCGTGTAAATGAAGCATTGACCGCCATGATGGCCATGGGCTTCAGCAACGAAGGTGGATGGTTGTCTCAACTTTTGGAAACGGTTGACGGAAGCATTTCCAATGCTCTAGACCTTTTGCAACCCCAGAAATAAAATGCATACCCATTGCATTGATCGAATGGACTTGTCGGAATATGGACGAATTTATGCTGACTAAATATTTCATATTTTTTTCGACTTCTTTTTCGTATTTTATCACACGTATTATATGCAAAGCTTTGCAATTATCAACATTTTTTCCTATATAAACCAATATTTGTGGATTTTTAAATTTATTCAAAAGGTGTTGGGTCCTGTGGATAGTTTAGAGTTCACAAAATAGAATTTTAATCCTTCAATATTCATATTGACGAAGCATTAGAAAAATAATGATGAAATACAAACAAAAAAATCAACAAAATGTTAAAATTACAAAAAAAAATCCTAATGTTTATGCAAGATTATATACTATGCAAATGAATAAAACAAAATATCTGCAGACAAAAAGTCCACTTGTTTTTGTTTACATACATTCATTATTGTGAAATAGCATTCTTAGGGAAATGCACGGCAATAAATTGTGTTTTGTTTTTTGAACGTTTATCATGAGTCATTGTAGCCGCCTGGTGGTGAAAAGTGGCAACTAATTGACAGGCTCTGAGGAGAGAATATGTTTTGACGTGTCCATTTGTGATTTATTTGTCACTTTAGCCGTATTCATTCGAGTCGCACCAAGCATTTTTTTTCTCTCCCTTCATTTGATTTTTTTTATAAGAATAAAACAAAATTCAATCCACAAACATGACGAACCTGACTACAGTTCTTCAAAAATTCTACGATGAATACGTGAATAACACACCGAAGAAGCTGAAATTGGTTGACGCCTACTTGTTCTACATTGTGCTTACCGGTGTCATTCAATTCGTGTATTGCTGCTTGGTCGGAACATTCCCGTTCAATTCGTTCTTGTCTGGATTCATTTCGACGGTCAGCTGCTTTGTTCTTGGTGGTAAGATCAAACGTTTCTAATCGATTAAAGTGTGAATTAGAATGGAATTCATATCAATAAAATTCATACAAATAAAATCGTTTTCCCTCTATTCCATACAGTTTGTCTTCGTTTGCAAGTGAACCCAGAAAATAAACTACAGTTCGTTGGCATTTCACCGGAACGCGGTTTTGCCGATTTTATTCTGGCCCATGTCATCCTACATCTTGTTGTAGTCAACTTCATCGGTTAGATATAATGTATTCCATCAGATTCTAAGCACAACGTGATCACTGTTTGGTGTTTCAAAGCACTAGCTTCACATTTCCTACACAAATTATCGTATATTGTACTGAGTAAAAATCAATTTGTATGCAATAGATTCAACGTAAATTGAGAATAAAAGAAAAGTGTCTATCAGAAAAGATCGATATTCTTTGGAGTTTTATTGGAAAAATAATTGAATTTAGCATTAATTTTTTGAGACTCTATCGACTACATTGCTACAGGTTTGCAATTCTGTCATGGAAATAGGCGACCATTTCAGTGAAATCTGGATAACCGGACAATGATGTGGCTTCATCTTTGGGTAACCATCTAAATTCAGTGTGTTCTTCAGAAAGCTTTGGATCTTTTTGGGCATCTTTGAGCTCGGCAAGCCAATAGATAACTGTCTTGTCTTTCCCTTTGACCTTATAGTTGAGCACCTTTTGTTCGTCTTTGTGAATGTTCAAGTCATCAGCGGTGTAACCGGCCTCTTCTCTGGTTTCTCGCAACGCCGTGGTGAAATCATCTTCGCCTGGATCAACGTGACCTATTGAATTTAATGCAAAGTATTTTACACCAATTACATTATTCAACAAACATTGGTATGGTGGCAAATTGCCACTAAAAATGATTTACCTTTCGGTGGCGTCCAGTGCTTTGCGCCGTACGATGCTCGCATCAATAAATATTCGATTTGCGAATTAAATCGACGAAAAATTAAAAATCCAGCTGCTCTTTTTGCCATTGTGCCGCTTGAACAAGATAACAACGATAGCAGAAAAAAGGTTATTTTCAGATGCATTCAACACACACTGTCAATGCAATCGTCAAGAAATTATTTTATCCGTTCAACAACCAGGTGGCGCTTCAATTTAATCAGATGATGATGATTTTTTTTTCATTTAAAAATTCAACCGAACATTATCAGATTATATGGCAGTTTTGGTCTATAAAAAGGAGAAGATAACAATGTTTATGTATGTTTTGCATCATAAAGAAGATGAAGACATATTAATTTAAATAAAACAAAATTCTTAGTCAATACAAATTATAGACTTAGTGATTGGGAATTGCTTCTTAAAGCTTCTTATCATATCTTTTAAAATTCTTTGAGCTAGGCTACAGCTTTTCAATTTTATCATGGAAATATGTAACAATATCAGTAAAATTTGAATTGCCAACCAATGATGTCGCATCATCTTTGGGCAACCACTTAAATTCTGTGTGTTCTTTAGAGAGTGTTGGAACTTTTTTGGGATCTTCAAGTTCGGCAAGCCAGAAGGTAACTATCTTATGTTTCCCATTGCCGTTATAGTTGATGGTTTTTTGTTCGTTTTTGTAAATGTTCAGATCATCGGCCGTGTAACCGGCCTCTTCTCTTGTTTCTCGCAATGCAGCGGTGAAATCATCTTCACCTGGATCCATATGACCTATTGAATTCAATGCAAAGTATTTTACGCCACATTATTCACACAATAAAAAATGATGGATTTACCTTTTGGTGGCGACCAGTGTTTTGGTGGTGAACCTTTTGAAGCTTTCAACAGTAGATATTCGATTTGCGAATCAAATCGACGAAAAACTAGTAATCCAGCTCCCCGTTTTGTCACTATGCCACTTCAAATAGATAACAGCAGAAGTGGATAAAAGTGTACATAATTAGCTAAATGAAAACGCATACAATTTTTCATATTGTCTATTTTATCCAAATCAAACGGCTATCTCAACCTATAACTTTAACCGTTATCTGATGCTTCGATTGGTCTATACTCACAAATAGTTTTGTATAAGAAACATATTTTTTGGATATATCAACATTTTTATTTAACCCTCTAATGCATACAACCGCCTCTAAATGGGCAACATTTGAATGCCTGTAGAACGTAAACCGTACATCGGATCACATTGCTTCAAAGAGAATTTTTATTTGTCAATGTTATTTCTTTATTTTTGTCTTTGGCAAGATTTGTCTATGTAGCGTGATTGTAAAGTTATAAACAAAAATGTGTGCGAAAATAAAAATTTGACAAAATAAATTATTCGAACTTCAAATTAGACACATTTTTGACACTTTTAAACAATGGATTTGATTGTTCTCTGATTTATGTCAATCGCATTTCCTGACTAAACCATTAGGAATCCGGGATTATGAATATTTTTTTAAATATCTATGATCAAAAATCAACCAAGTACCAATACTCCTAGCCCTGGGAATAATTAATGCATTAGAGGGTTAATTTATTTGGAAACTGAGAGAGTAGCTATTTTAAAACTTGTGATAAAAATATTAAAAAATGGCACAAAATGTTGTTCCTACAGAATTTGAATGAGTAGAAATCTACTGCAGTAGCGGATGGGTAGTACAAATTCACTGGTATGCACGTCAATCTATGTACATTCAGTAATATTGATTTGTCGTTCACCATGAATATTGTTGAGTATACACACAGTGAAAAATAAAAGTCCACACTTAGGCGGATTTTCGACTGGTAGAGGCGCCCAGTCTTATATTTTGCCTAGTAAATTGAGTTTCAGACGAAAAACCGACTAGATTATAAGCAGAATTTCGCCTGCAGCTCAAATTACTAGCAGCAATATCGGCTGAATGCGTTTTTAGCTGAAACAACGGCTAGATGTGGACTTTTATTTTTTACTGTGCATGTGTCGCTGAGCATAAAAATGGGAATACAGATCTGTTATACTCGAAATCTTGAAAAGTACACTTTTTTGAAATGCGGTACGTTTTAGTACACATTAAGTACAATCGATTTAGTTTGGTTTACCCCATGGCATAATTTAAGGAATTT